ATAATTTTCAAATTATTAGTATTAACCACTCCAAATCTGGAAACCATGTATATTAATCCCGGCATCTTAACTTGTCTACTTTTTTTTTTAAAACCTAAAGTGCAGCTGAGAGTTAGATACGAATATCTAACGGAGAATTCCATAGTTCACTCGTGGTAATACGATCCGTTTAGGAATAAATACAGGGACGAAGGGTGTGCGAAGAGAAGAGAAAGAGCGAAGGTTTCGCCATCCTCTCCCTGTTGCCATCGGTCGTACTTGGACGTCGGTCGTCGATCGTCGGTCGTCGGTGCCGAAGCCGAAGCCGAAACCCTTCCATTCCCGCACCGAGCCCTACCACCGCCCGGCGGTATTGCCACCCCCCAATGTCGTAGCGCCCCCGCGTCAGAATCCAACCTCTCGTCACCCCCGCGACCCTCGCAGCAGCCCTGGTCGAACGAGCGAGGGAAACCCTTCCTCCCTGTCCCCAGAGCGCCTACGCCTCCCGCGTTGCCCCGGCAACCTCAGCTTGGGGTTGGCCACCACCGCCTCCGTGTACCGCGGCTCCATTCACCGCGTCCCCTCTCCTCGCTTCTTCTCCTCCGCCGGATTCTCCGCCCTCTTCTTTCCGCCGTTATTCCTCATCCTTGTCTTTCTTCTCCTCTACCCCTTCTAACCTTCCTCCGCCATCCCCGTACCTACTCCCCTGCAACTCGTCCCTCTCGACCGAGGTCGCTGCTTTGCCTTGGTCCAACCCTCGTCAGTCTTCACCCTTCTACCCTGGTTTCGACCTCGTCTCGCCTGGAGTCTGCGAGAGAGGACGAAGTAGGGAAAGGGAATGCATTGGTCTAGGTAGAAAAGAAGCTAGGAGAAACGGTGCAGCGCCGCTCCTCCGGAAGCCAACCGGATTAACGTATCTCGAATAATTCGTGCATAATTTCGTGCCACGCGTAAGCGAGGAAAATGTGCACGTCACCTTGTTGCTGCTAGATCAGGTCAATTTCAATAACAACTGTAAAAAAAAAGAAAGAAATGGGAAAGTGGATAAAATTGGATAAAAATGCATTTTTTTTTTTTTTTTTTTATAAACAGCTTAAAATGTGTCTTCTCTAATAATATAAACAGAACAACAATTTTTTACGTGTATCGATTGTTTGTTTTACAAACGATATTTAATAATGCTGCAATGATATAGCGTCAATCCGATACAGTTATCTTTATACACCGAATAAATATACGGATTTATAATGGGTGTGTGATATAGTTTGAAAGAAAAAGATCATTCTTGGTCAAATAGGCATTGCGTCGCTTTTCAACGCGAATTCGACCCTCTTTCGGGAGAGCTCTGATGTCGACGAGTTGAACTTGTTACGACGTTACGAGATTCCTCGATCGAGAGGGAGAGTTCCGCTCTTGTCTAACACTTTTTCGTCACGACTATAGGGTGAATCGAATTGTCGCCGTACTAGAAGCGGGAAGAAAAGAGAGACGGGTCCGATTCGATCTTCCGCGTGGAGGATTCGTATGGCCGTGTTATTGCATGCGAAAGAGGGAGAGGGGTAGCAGCAGGTTGAAGGGGGTTAAATCGATGGTAAAATCTTGCTTTCTCTCTCCATTACCGGGGAAGAGAAACGGAAGGTTGCTCTTGACGATTTCGCTCTGCCGCAGTCGAGAGAGAGACAACATCCGAAACTTGGAATCGGTCTCCGGCCACCCTCCTCGCAAATTTGCCAGGTAATTCGATTATATCCGCGCAGCTCGTCCTGCGAGAGAGTCGCGATCGATAATACCCGCGTTTCGCGTCGGATCCTGCCGGTATCCGGTTCTCGGCAGTCGCAAGGTATCAGTTTTCGTTGCATGTATTTCGACGACGAAGGCCTCGGAGAAGAGAAGAGAAGAGAATAGACCGAACAGTTGGTTCGCGATCTGCGCGCTAGTTATAAATATCAATGCATTTTTCGTAATCATTCACAGTAGATATATAAACTGTGTGCGCAATATGATGAACGTATTATTTTCCACAACATGATGTGCAATGATTAATTAATCAGTAAATATCGTACTTCATTGAATATTATAGATAATTTAGAAATATTATAGATAATTTAAGACAGTGCCTTAAATCTCATGCCAAATCTATACAAATTCTATCTACTTCCTAGTTCTTCAAGTTATAGTTTGAAATTATATTTTTTCGCGCGATAATTCGATTACACAGAAATGACTATTAAATAAAGATAAAGGAGCGAGAGATTCGAACTCGCGCTCGGTCGAGGCGACAAAGAACGCCGCGAGAAAAAGATATGATATATATATGCCGTTCTATCACCAAGGCTATCATTAAAATATGTTTCGTCCGGGTCACTGGCGTTACATGGAAATGCGTTTTATCGGTACTGTAACGGCGGTGTTCCGGGACAGATAATCCAATTAAAAGCTACACGTACACCAAGATAGGCTCATTGCTCTCATATCGTAGTCGTAAAAAGGGAGCCTGTACGATCTTGAGACAGATACGACGATAGATACGCTACGTTGATTGTGTTTTGTTCGACGTTCTAAAATCGTTAGTCGGAAACGAGCGCGGTTAGTTTCCATCCTGAGCGTTAGTAGATACCGCGATATTGCCTAACTTTCAAACTTACTCCGGTACTATCACGATAAAAAGGCACATATAAGTACGAACCGTGCACACAACTCGAAGAAATAAAACATAAAGTAAATGAATGTGTGCCCCTTGTATAATGAATCTGAGCTTTCAAACTTGCTCATTTTGTAAAACGGCTGAAGCAAATAAAATGATTGGTCGCATGGCTGTGAAAAAAAAATGCAAAAAATATTTTTAACATTTTAAATTTTACAATTGAAATATACATTGAAAAGTAGATTCTAGATTGAAGATGAAGATAATGATAATTATATTTCTACAGTTATATTGGCACATATCAATCTCGTGATCTTCTCACGAAGATTAGCGGATAAATTAAAGCGTAGGACACATTTGCATTCCGGTTAATTTCGAAACGTAGACAATCGCAGGTCGTTTCGCCTCCAATATTCTCTCGCGAGATGGAATCAAATCGGATTGCGCCGCTGCTTACTTGCGTACGCCTAAAAGTCCGGGGGCGTGTAGATAGCGCGTGACGTACCTGAGAGAGTAATCACGCATAGTACCTACCTACCTGGCTGCTGGCATAGCCGATCGATTACCGTATAGCCGCGCGGTGCACACGCCTGCCTGCCGCCACGTACCGCAACTACGTGACAAATATTATCGCGATCGACCGACCCGCTGCGTTTGATGTGGACGCGTTTATGAAATGCCGACACGCCGATAATCATGCGCGCGACCAGCGCCCAAGGCTAAATCCAATTTGTAATATTAATCTCAGCGTTGCGCCTCGCATCTCTTTCTCTCCTCTTCCCTCTCCCCTCTCGCATCTTCTCTCCCATCCTTGTCCTCCCTCTCTCTCTCTGTCTCTTTCTCTTTAATTCGGCATTTTTCAATCGACAAGGGTCTTCAATCTACTAGGGCCTCGCGCAATTTTTATCGCCAATCACATTTTTTACCGTTTAATTATTTCAACGCGGGTATCGATTATATATATTTTTAAGTTTCAATTGATGTTAACGTAGTAAAACGAATGCCAATGGATAATTCTACATACGTTAACAACCCTACGTATCGCATGGTACTACGTGTGTGAGTATTCAAGATACAAAGTTTATTTTCGCTTTGTCTGTATAAAATTAGTCACGCTTGTGCGATGGTAGACGGGAAACGGGTTTGATTAATCGCGAGTATAATTCACCGGAAGCGTTGTTTTTCCGATTGGGGATCGTTCTGATTACAGTGGCGCGGGATCGGGTGTCAACGATCTACGTTTAGCGCACGCGATAAACAGCCTGAACAAACACCGGTGAAAAGGCCGTGCTTTTAACTTCGGAGCGCAGAAACAAATCTGCGCCTCTTTGTGGACTACCTTGTTTCGCGCGAGCTAGCAGAAGCGTTCTCCAAACACGCCGGGCGCCATTATGCGCCATTATGCGGCCAAATGGATCGGTATATTTAGTTGACTTTGGCCCGTATTCAGATCTCGCGTTCCCAACATCTTGAACAGTTGGTTGTCGTTGACGCACATACGACGGCGACGTCTCGGGTCTTGAGTCCCGGATTTACTCAGGAACATTTAGTACGTGCTCGCTAATTGTGTCACGCTCGCGTTTATATTCCTTGGGACTCGTAAATTGTAACATTAGCGGACATTACATCGTTGTTCTTGCAATCTTTGATCGCTAGCTCAACATGGTTGGACAAAAAATAGCAGTTGAAAAAGGAAAATAAACTGAATGAATTTTTAAAGCAAGTTTTAGGGATAAGGGCTTGAATTTCCGAATACATCCGCAAGATCCGCAAACGTTTACGCCTGAAATATATACCATGATGCCATCGAAGAAAGTAGGCCTGATGGATGTCAGCAGGTAGTGTCCTCTCGAAGACGAAAATCTTGCTTATCTTATCGCCGTCGACAGGCGAGATACAGTATACAGTATACAGTGTCGGACCACCGGCACGGGCGTACGATGAGACGCGAATGTGGCAGCGGAGTGCGGAGTCTCTTACGAGGCAAGCAGCGGGCAGACACACGTGGACGCTCAAACTCAAACGAGGAGGCAACTCTACGTGTCTCTCATCTCGTATCTCGTTGTGGCCCCCTCTGTCTCGTTTCCGCCGCTGTCGCTGCTCGCTACTGCCGTCGCCAGTCGCCAGTCGCCACCACCGCAGCCACCACCACTCGCGCTCGGCCGCGCGTTCCTGTTATCTCGCAGCTCGCTTCGACTTCCCTCGCTCCCCCGCATGCCGCCTCGTGCCTCGTCCCCTCCCCCGCGTACCGTGCCAACCAACGAGTCGGAGCTCGGAGCCGCTTTCGCTTTGTGCGCGCCGGGGCGGCGGTACATCAAAGCCTTCTAGTTCCCGCTCCGGCCTTTGACGGTCGCGTCGCGGCCGCTCGCTCAGTCATCGCTCGGTTGTAGGCGATGCCGGCGCGCCGTACATGAACGGATCGCGCTCGCGCGCGCGCGCGCGCTCTCTCTCTGAGCGCACGATGAGCGCGAGCTCCCCGAGATCAGCCGCGAGTTCGCCGTTCGCTGTTCGCCCCACGTCCATCGGATGATTCGGATTCGCGATACGACGACGAGTCGATTTCCGTTTAACTCTCGCCAAACGCGGATGTACTTGAGTGATTACGAGGTAGCCGCGAATGCGTTTGGATCGTGCGATGCCGCCTCGTGGCGGCAAGTCCGCGCGTATCAGCAAAGTAGCCACCAAGGGGCGCCAAACGCGCGATCAGCAGCACGTCTCCCTGGGTCTTGTGGAAACCGAGGGAACGACTATGGCGATGGCGATGGCGATGGCGACTGCGACGACGGAGACGGAGACAGAGACGATCACAGCGACGGCGACAATGACGACGACGACAACGACGACGACGACGTTGATGACAACGACAACGTTGACGACGGTGACGTCAAGCGGAACGGCAGTCGCAACAGCAAGAATGGACAAGTCCGTGGTAACAACGGCCGCGGCGTGCAACGAGGGTCGATCGCAGTGGATTGGGCGCATGCGCCAGTCCCTGGAGAGCAGCTCCGAGCCAGCCCGTGAAAACGGTACCCCGGTGCATCGTTATCCGGAAAGGCAGCGACGACGCGAGAGACACATCGCGGGGAAGAAGCCTCGACCGGCGAGAAACACCGACAAGACCACCGCCGGCACCTCATGCTCCTCGACATCGTTGTCGTCGCCGCCGGCGCTCTCCTCGCCGTCTTCTTGCGCGTCCTCGCGTCGCTCGAGCTCTCCGCCGTCGAGCACCTCGTCACCAGCACGGTCCTTGACATCCTCCACCTCGTCGGTCACGAGCGATCCGTTAGCGATCAAGCCAGCGGTCAGAAGCAGGCGAAGAAGCACTCCCGATCGGAGCGACGACGGGATTGGGAAGCGGAGGCAGAACGCTGCGGGAACAAGACGGAACGACGGCGGGACGACTCATGGAGCGACGGAGACGACGACGTCGGTGTCGATTTCCTCCTCCTCTTCGATCACCGTGTCTTCCTCGTCGCCATTCCCCTCCCCAGTATCCACGTCCTCCACATCTTGCCGGACGGCGACAACGCCGCGCGGTCATGGTGGGGATCACGGCGTCGCGCACATATCGTCCTCTTCGTCCGCCCTCGAAAGGCTGAGAAGTGCTCTGGAAAACTACGACCGCAGTCGAATCTACCTCGCCCATGTTTGCTACCTCGATTGGCGGGATCTGCCGGGTAAACGGCGTGGTGGTGGTGGTGGTGGTGGCGGTGGCGGCGACGACGGCAGCGTCGGAAATCGCGACGCGACGCGTAGCGGCGAGCGGGTGTGGGTGGTGGGGGCGGCGGATCACGAGGGTCACCACCGGACACGATTGTTGGTGGCGGGCCGTCACTGGCGACCACGTTGTCTACGCAGGGTCAACATGCTGAGCCAACCGGTGGTGTACGCCGGTGGCGGCAGGGGTTCTTTAACCGCCGATCTCTTTCTATGGTGGTTTCATCGCGAATTCGCTGTCACGGCAATGGCGATGCATCCGGACGGCGCCGTGCTGGTAGCCGAGAGTGCCGATTACCTGCCACCGGAAGGTGACTGCGTCGCCGCGGACGGTCTTGTACGGTTATTCGTTGTACCCAAGGATTGCATGGAAACGCGATTGGTGGTTCGAGAATTGAGAGTGCGCCTGGCTACCGGTATATTATCGAGAGCCCGCTGTGGCGTTTACCGCGATAAATTCCCTTCGATCTTGGGCTTGCCCGATGAAGAGGGCGATCACCGATTGGACGCCTATCTAAAAAGATTCACGCTAAAGGAAGCGTTCGCGGACCTTCATCGCGCCTGGCTCAGTGTTCGATCGGAGACTTTCGCTCGAAGCTGGACGTTGCCACGCGATCGCGAGGATCATCCGCTCGCGGGATGCAACGGCGCCATGTTACCGCCCAGAATCCACGCGGTCGATCAGGAAGAGGATAGAATGTTGCTCATCGAGCTACAGAGCCTCGCCAGGGAGGTCGGACTCGAGATCACCGATGACGAACTCGGTAGTTGGATCCTTGACGAGGAGAGCGCGTTAACGCGTTTCGTTAGGAAGAGAGAACCGGATGAGGAGCACTGCCGGGTGAAGATCGAGATAGAGACAGATAAATGGTTGGATCGCAATGACGACGAGGATGAAGACGGGAAGAACGACGGTGTCGAAGAGGATGACGGCGAGGACGAGCCTACCGCCGGGGAAGCTGTCGGACTCCTCTCGAGAGTACTAACCTGGATGGAAAGAGAACCTCTCGATCCAGGACTTCTACTGGCGGTCAGATCGATGCGCGATACCGCCGCACTTATGGTAAGCACCGCGGCTGATAAGAGACGATCTGTCGAGAGCCTTTATATATCGATCGTTCGCGGGACGAAGAAGAGAAACGGAAGAAGGAGAATGGAAGAAGAGAGACGGCGAAGAGCCCAGGGAACCGTGCGCGATCTCGCGAGCTTACGAACAGATTGAACTAATTTCATCGACTGTCACTTGACAAAGAGCGACTAGAGGGTAAGGGAGGCTGAACAAGTGGTGGGGTGGGTTACGCTACTATCCTTGAGGAGGGCACTCGATTTCGACGATACGTCGCGTCGAGACGAATGCACGGAAAGGTTGAACGAACCCTCGTGCCTCGAGAAGTACATTCCTCCCTCCGCAATCCCGCACACGGTCTTTGCAAATTAACGCTCGAGCTGGTCCTCGATAAGCACTTCTCGATAAGCTCCCCTTTGGAGCGAATCGAATTGGATATCGTGTTTCTTTCAAGAGTCGTGAACTGTAAATCCTTGGCGTTATCCTTGCACTTTTTACACCGTTGACGTTACTGCCTGAACTCGTGCGATGTGCGATTCGTATTCGAATTAACGTAGCAGCTTACTATATCACGCATGTGCGTGTGTGATACAACGTGGTAACATAAGCAGCGGATAAAAAATGAAATTTTTATCGACATAACGATAAGGATTAACGATGCTCGCGAAAATAGCCACCTAGATATAGAATATAGATTATTATTACGTACATTATTATTTAATAATGTCTTATTAATAAATATTAACAATTCAAAGATTTCGGGAGTTTTATCTACGCTTTGTGCCGAATATAATATAAATATACATATATTCAGCAATGACATCTCTAAATATCTTCTCTTTGATGTTCAGCGAAATTACAGAATAACATTAATCGCTCTCGCACTAAAGTATTGATACAATTTGATATACCGAGATATTGTTAAATGAAACAATATATAATACCTAGTTTTTTTTTAATACATTAATTAAAAATTCTTATTTTGTAGGCAAGCAAGATGGGCCTGGCAGGGACGCATCCAGGTGGATTGCCCTTCTTCTGCCCGAACGGGGAACACTTGACGCAACCACCTCCCGCCCATATGGGTATACCCCCCTATGGCGCATTGGACGCGGGTAAAGCGGCCGCCGCGGCTGGTAAGTACTTTTTGTTATCAGCCACTTATTAGAACGTCCACATATCTCTAGAACTGTTTTGAGTCACGACAATTTTCACAGGTCAATTTCTCTCGTTTGACCTTACTGGTAATCTCTTTTGTTCGAATTAAATCGAAAGATTTTGCAAAAGTTGTTGTATCTTTTAATCTATTTGACAATCAAAATTTTTTGATGTATCGTAATTTTCGTGCCGTACGTAATTAAGGAATTGGAAATTGTTAAAAGATGCCTTTTCGCTGATAAGTTAATAAATTGCGTATATTTGATATATTTGGTTATTGGTGAAAATAAATTCGGCACTTTTGTCATATTTCGTCGTTACTGTCGTAAAGTGTGCAAAATATCACTTTTATGGAAGTAACATAGTGACATTGACAATCAAAAATCACAGATTTATATATTTTTAACCGATATATCAATACGTTTACGTATCATTACGTTTTGCAAAATATCTTGATCGCAAATATACAGTCGTTGATAATATAAAATCTCTCGATGCACGCGCTTTCAACATGAACTTTCAACTACTGACAATACGCCGCACAGTCTCGATATCCCCAATGCGTATCGGTTGAATCAACAATTCTTTCACGAAGTTAATCCGCTATTGTCCGGCCAAATATTGACGTTCCTCTCGAATTGTAATTGATGGAATACTTCTCGTCCCGCTCGCGTAATCGACACGCTCCGCCCCGTCGAGAGAGAGCTTTATATATAATTTTATTGTATCGAGCTGCGCAAATATTAACATGGCCGTTACAACCCGACCCAAGCGAGTCCAGCTTGTACCTGGCCTTTGCGCAAACCGTTTGTGACCGCGTTAACATACGTTAATCTTTGTTACAGCAATTCGGTAGACGAAACACTGAATTGCTATTAATGTATGAATAAATCTGCATGAATAAATGAACAAAACAATCCGTATTGGCAAACCACTGATATCAAGTCGTAACAATAAGTCTCTGAATATACAGATTGATGTTGCAGAGCACGTCCTTACTGTCCTTACTGTCAAGTATTCTATTCCCTCTCGGGAATTACGAGCGTATTTTCGATGCTCTCGAGTCAAGTCGAGTTAAAAAGTCTGCGCCAATACCCTAGCTTCTAATTGAAGGAATATTTCTTATCAAGTCAAGAGGCAAGATGATATTGGATTCAAATGGAGGCTATGAAGGGGGTGGCATAATCTTCGAAGATGTTCTGCGAGAGAGAGAGAGAGAGAGAAAGAGGGGGGGGAAAGCCGCAAACTGGCATAAAATATAAGAGTAGAGGAGGACTCATCATTAGGCTAACTAGTCAAGCATGCAGCCTTCCTCTGGGTCAAGGTAGTTTTGTACCCGCCTATTTAGTTTCGACAGTTTCTGTCCTCAATCTATCCTTGGAACGCTTCCCTCTTCTATCAACTTCGTATTATCGTGAAGGTTCTACTATTGATACACTATCAACGCTCTTAGATGCGACCTTGAGAAGTTTCGAAGTAGCGTCATCACTGGAACAGCTTAAACATCGCTCCTACTGATTTACCTTAGGATAGAGTTTTCATCGCTTTACATACTTTTATAATATATTTTGTGTGAAGAAACTTCAAGGGTTTTCTTATCATTTTATCTATAAACAAGTACGAATAAGATATTCTTTATCCCCTATACTCTGAAGTATGCAGATGTTGATAGCATTTATGCATGCGCGGCGGCTCGGGTTCTTTGTCTTGTAAACAAGGGAGCATTCCGTCTCTACTCTTCGCGAACTGAATCGAGACTCGACCTCACCCTGTCTCATGCCCTTTCCTTTGCTACTTCGGAACGACAATCTCCCCATTTTCAATACTTTTCCCGAACCTATCACATATTCGCCCATTCTCTCCCCCGCCACCAGACAGTCAAGTACCGCGGTTCTAACTTCTTTTTCTTCCCGTTTACTCTTTGCTCCGTGCCTCATCTCCTCATCTGCTCCGTACACTACCCCGTTCGTAATCTCCGTGTCCATTCTCTACTTTCTTGTTTCTCTTTCTATCCGCTTCTCTTTTTTCCCCTGAGGCTCCTCTTCTTCTTCCTCGTCCTTTCCTTTGTTTTCGATTTGTGCAATTCCATGATTTCCTCTCTTCCATGCATGGATATACGTATATTTCTAATTAGCTTCACTTTTCGATCTCCGTTGCATGTATTTAATTGAAAAGAATTCCATGATAAAGAACAATAAAAGAGAGCGAACGGAGAAAGAAAGTGAACTGGTAATGGAGATGAAAAGACAGGAGAGAGTGAGATGCAAAAAAAATGGGGATATGGATATGGCTATACCAATCCCGGCGTTCCGTTTCATCAAGACTTCGCCATTGATCCGCTTAACTTCTCTCTTTCTCTTTTATCTGTCATGTTTCCTGTTCCTTATTTTCTATTTCTTGTTTTCTTACTAATGTTCATGTCTTCTTTTTGCTGTTTTCGCATGTTTTCTATTTTGCACCCTCGGAATGTATACATGGGCTAATCACGGATCTTTCGGCAAACAATCGCAATAACACGTACACCCTTTTACATCGTCTGCACTTGTACAAGTTTGTTATTAAATCTTTATTGTCGATGCGCACCCTACTGTTTTGACTTTCATAATCTTTATTTTTCTAGGATTATACCTTTCTTATCTTCTGAGAACAATAATAGTAATTTTATATTTAGAATTTCAATAGATTATGTTTTACTTCTTTCTCAAAGAATTCTCAATACAAATCTTTTATTCTGTTGATTAAGTGCAAGAGAGAAATAGATGTAGTATTAATTTCATACGAAAACAAATAACTTTTTTATTCAAATTAGTTTGCAACAAAATATTTTTTGATAAAGCTCTTGATGCGCTATATCTAGAATTTTCAATAAAATGCTTGATCTCCAAAAAAACCATTCGTAAAAATTATTTTGCATATTTCTTATTCTTTATGGTATTACCAACGTCGTTAAATTTTTGTTTAACCGATTGAATTACCTTTTAAAAACTAAAAGGAAGAAGGGAATGAGAAATGTTAGTAAAATTTTGATATTTATTAGTAGATAAAATTTCTCAAAAAAGGAGAGAGAATTTCTGCTTTGTTTCTTTTCACACTACTTCACCGCTTCCGCTCTTATTTTCACTGCACCCATTCAGTTTCCGAGCTTGTACTACCGGTTTCCGGAAGCCGGACGGGTAGAATTCACGACAATAAGGTTTAATAGAGCGAAATAGACGAATTCGCTTGCGGGGTTGGGCGAAGCTACGAGAAGCAGTTGGAAAAAAGAACTCTCGAGCACCGGTCGAGTTAAAATCGACTTGGATGGAAGCAGGAAAAGAGTGAAGCGGACAAATGGGAGAAGAAGGAGAGAAAGAAAGAAAGCGAGAATATCGCGGTACACGGAACATCGGGAACCTGAGTTGTTCGAGAATAAAAGAGTAATTTTCCGGATGGTGAGATGCCGATAATGGGGTTGCAGACTGCCGAGTCAACTGGAAAGTGATTAAGCACACATGACGGAATCCACGGACTCGTCAGGATATTACGAGGCACCCCTTTCCGCTATGCTCCTATTTCTTCGTTCTCTCATTCACATCTTCTTGGTTCTTCGTTGTCTTCCCTCTCTGTTTCTCCTATGTTTTTCATTCCCTCCCCCTCTCTCTTATCTCCTTTTTTGTGAATGTGCTCCCAATTCCTAATACTCTCTTCATCATCTTATTAGACGAATATAGCTAGCCTTTCTATTTTATCGATTACACGTTTCGATCTAATCAGCTTTGAAACGGCCTCATCTTCAACCCCTTTTTATCGTTAACTGAGATTAAGTCGTGCTTGCTTGATTTTAATTTTGTCTGTTCCCATCCGCTTACCCGAAAGTTTGAATATGAGAGATTTAGTTTTTGATTTCGTTTTCTTATTCTACGTCTTATTATAGATATAATATTAAACTTAAAATCTTTTCATAAAAGAAGGTAGTTAAAATCAAGAAGTAAATAATAAACTTATTAATAATGTATTAAAATTTTAGAATGTTTATATATAGGTACACATAATGTGTAATTTGTTCCATGATTTATACCCAAAGCGACGTAGGCGAATATATCGTGTTGCACGTGGCTCACAAATTCGCGCGCAAGATAAAATATCGGATTATTACTTTTACGTGGGATTAAATTTCGTTTCGGCAGCCATTGTTTTCACGGGCTCGAGTGTGCTTCGTTATTCAAATGAGATTAAAAGCCCGGGGCCGAGTGGGAGCCGGTCTCGTTACAGTCGAGTGGCTAATCGTCGTTATGCGAAGATCGAAAGTAGCTCCATTGTACAAAAAAAATCCCAGCATACGCGAGTTTTATATACGTCGTCGAATTTTATCTTTTTCTGTCGGTATTACAAATAATGTCGCAAAATAAAAATAATATACTGATTTCTCAAAAGATGGATCAAATTTTCTCAATAAAAAAGAATACAAAAATAGAAAATAGGACATTGTTTGACTAATCTGGATTATTTAAAAAGAAATGTAAGTTTGACCTCTGCATTTCGCTGTTTAAGGACGCACTTACATGCGTAGAGCGACAAGTAGTCAAAAGTAGGATATAGCTCACGATCGTTTAAAGTCGCAATTGTTTTTACCAAGTGTAGACGCGCTTCGTTATCTAAACGCAAACGGTATTCCAGAGACGGAAGTCCGATCTCTTTACGGTCGATCGGTCGACAGTCATTATAGAGTTGGGGATTGAGAGTGGCCCTATCCGGGGAAAACCACGCGTTGACCGATTTCAGCACGCGCGAGGGGACGAGAGAGAAGAGATTGTCACGGGGAATATGCCTTCGGGACATGTTCGCCCGCAAAACGCAAAAAGGAACAGGATGGGAACAGGCTGGAGAGTCTATGCAATCCGTTCGCGTATACTATGTCGAATGACATATAAAGAGAAAAAGAGAATAGCATCGCGAGAGAGAGAGAGAGAGACTCGTATTGGCCTCGTCAAGCGGTTTCAGGCTTGCCGATATTCCGGGCGCTTCTCGTCGACCCTTATGAAGCCAATTACACTTCGCCTCGCCAAAGGCACCCCACTTATATCCGCGCCCAACATTTCCCGGGCTCTCTTGAAGCCGCGATCAGTTCCGCGGCACGTACTAGTTACATTAGATACCGATGTAAAAGCGATATACCTTGTCCGTTATTCAACCTACGATAGCCATATAAATGTATAATTTTACAATTTGCTATCCGAGTAATTTTAAACTCTTCTGCAGCTTCTTTTCGAACCTTTCTTTGGTTTGAGGGGATTATGCGTACTCTTATTAAAATTGCAAGTTTAACAGAAAAACAATTTAGTTAGTGCATTAAATTTGCAAATTATTATTTTATTGTTGTTTAGCAAAAATATATATAATTACTTAGCAATATCTCTGAATCTTTTGCATTTAAAAACAATCAAATAATTGTGTTTTTAGGGCTCAGCAAATTTCTAGTGTGGAATGTCCCTCGTACAATCTCATTATCAATGTAACGCAGACTAAGCAGACTTGATCGATCGCAATTATATAAAAATCGGATTGATATCGATACCGTTCATCCGTCTGTCCAGGATGAGTTACGCGGCGTTAAATTTCATTAACGACTGTTCTCTGGACGACGATCCCGATGGCGTGTGTATTTCACTTCGTGTCGGGTGCGCTAGTTACAGAGGGTGCGGCCGCGCACGCTGATCAATGTCCTCCGTTCTCTCGCCACGAAAGAGAGAAAACTCGACCTCCGTCGCTTTGAGTGTTTGTAGTGCAAACCTATGCGATATATTAAAAGCATAGTTTTCTTTTCTCTTTCAATCGCGCGTTTCTTTGATCTTGTCGTGATAATATTTATACACGGATATGTCAAATTATTCATCAGTGCATGCGTATTGCAATATCGAAAACTGCAACAGTTTTTAATATTTAACAATAACAATAATATTAATAACTCATAATACTTATAATAATAAAAAAGCTGCTATTCTCTGCAAATGGCACGCATATTATTCATATTTGATCTTATTTTTTATAATATTTATAATAAGAGATAGATGAAACTTTCATCTCATATATAGAAAATATAAGTAATAAGCTTTCCTTAATTAATGACCAGAAAAATGCATCCTGCAATGAAATTCACTTGTGTTTGCTGCGATGCACAAATACAGAAACCTCCGTGCACCCGCTCGTTACCGGTTCGGTCTTTCGCGATCTCACCGCGATTCAATTGTACGTCATCACTTAGTGACCGTAAAATTGGTCACGCTGCTGGCTAATAATAGATTAAACGCGTTATGACGCCGTTAATCGCGGGTACGAGATGTGCGGTAGATTTATTCTTCGCTCTAACATCGGCATCGGCACATTAATTTGCGGATGTTTCAGCCTCGGTTGTGTCAACGAAATACAAGCGTAAGAATGAAAATAAAAAGAGATGACGGATAAAATTTCCGAAGAGTACTAAACACAAGTATCTATTCTATATAACAGCAAATCTATATAACAGAAAAATCTGAATATATGGATAAAAGGATGTAGGGTTAAATCGAGGAAAAACCATTTTATCAGTTATATTCGACATTGAATGAAAGAATGATATTTCATTTTTATTGTTATAGGTCTCACGAGAGCACCAATGTACCCCTTTTCGACGGGCCAGTACGCATACCCCATGCTTAGTCCGGAAATGACGCAAGTCGCTTCCTGGTAAGTGAAAACATATTTATTAAAGGAGAAAATTTTACGTCAGACACTATTTCTTCATTCTCTCATATCTGTATAAAAACAATATATTATAGTTTCATAAAAGCTTCAATTTAATGTAATACAATTATATCCATGTTATTCTGCGATTGGTTGCATTACAATATAACGTAATATTATTTCAATTTTAATCAAACATATATTCAACTGAATGTGTATGATGAGAGCGATATTCAATTTCGCGATGTAAACGCGTACGCGACATCCATAGAACAAGAATCGTTTTATACTCCTGTGCGCGCGCGCGCGCGCGCGTGTGTGTGTGTACACACACGTTATATTATATTTTATATTAATTACGTGTTAAATAATCGATTTGCGTTTCACAGTAACGCAAATGAAAAGTAATGGAGAGCATCGGATTTCGATCGCGCGCCGAAGCGATTCTTGGTGATTTAAAATCGCTCGACACTCAACGCAGATCGCATATCGCGAATTGTGCACAAAGGCTGCTAAATATTCATAAAAGTATCAGCAAAAACGGGGAACGTTACATGACGAGCCTCCTCTCGATAAATTTTTCGCTTTAGAATAAATTCTCTTTTAATGTAAAGTGTGCGGATTTGCATGATAAACGTCGTCAGGGTTTCTCTGGTTCAAAATATGCTCACTGATCTTGTTAGTAAGGATTTTCACGACGCTTAAAGGTGAAGTTTTTTATTAGCAGCTTCTGATCTTTCTCGCAATGCCAATCGCGAAATTATCGAGGATCTTTAAAGTAAGACGCACAGATAATCGCGACGTATTCACATTCTGGTTCAGTTATCTGAACAAATCTGGACATTGGATAGGTGTGGGCTGCTTTGGTCAGTTGTCCTCTCAGTTCCAGTCTATTACATCTGATACGGAACCTTGCCTCATCCTCGTAGTCCTCATAGACGTCACCCTCTTTTCGCGAAGGAGACAGGTCCTTACGATCAGGTTTTCGCTCGAAGCCGCCGTTTCCCCTGCTCGTTATTTGCTTTACGCCTGAGTCGTCCCAAATTGCGATTTTCCACGGATGATTAGGCTCCTTCTTCTCAATTAGAAGGACCCACAACATCTTTGCTCGCTCGAGACGAACCTAGCACGCGGAAAAATGTTGTACGTCGACATCGCGTGCACAGAATTTAGCTCTCGCGGTTTTCAAGGGGTGGTGTCCGTCCTCGAAAAGGAAGGAGTGGAGCGCGACAGAAGGCCACTTGCAATAATGAGGAGGTCGGCGGCGTTTTTATTACGCGAAGTGCATGGAACTCTGGTCTCTACGTTCTTGGCAATGGAAATGCGAACAGCGTATTCGCGAGGAGACACAAACTAATTACTCTTACGAGAAGCAGTTTGCATTGTTAGTCATAATTAATTAACTGTCCTGCTGATCGATACTGTGCAATATTATTATTATTATAGCGTTTTTGCTCAACGAGTTGCTCGCGATATTTGAATTACAATCATGCAATTTTTATAGTCACCATCAATAATTGGTCAGTTGTTTGATTGAGAAAGTAACTTAAATTTAACGACAGTTACAAATAATTATTTTCATTTTATTGCTTTCTCCCTTTTTTAATTCCTGAAAGCTGAATTTTTTAAGATTTTGATTTTTTCCATTGGATACATAATACGACGAATCAGACTGATAAAATTTATTTTACCTACAGTTTTACAGGTACAGTAGAAATCCCTGTACATAATTTTGTCAAAAATTTCGTGCTATATGGAAAGAACAAAACGGTCGATGTTACAATGAAACGAGTGGATTAATAAATTTCCTAGAAAATTTTTCACTAGCGTCCAAATATCGAAGAAATATCTCATTGATTGGAAAAATGTTAAAGTTCTTGATACTGAAAGGAAAAATGATTCATAAAGAACAAAAGAATAGAGTGAATTCAAATAAAGACACCGAATTTCTCAACAGCGCATATTTTGATACTCTTGACGAACTGTCTAATATCTTATTTTAACATCAACATTGTGATCTACTGTATCAACAGTCCTTTGTTTTCTATCTTATTTACATTTAATATTTTATACTTATCGATCTTTAGCGACATATATCCCTAGTTCATTGTTTGACTACATGTTAGGAGGCTAACGACAATCAGTTAAGACACTCTTTTAAATTTAATTACTTAACCACGATCTTGTAAGTTAATTTTTTCAACTATTAATCTGTGAAAAAGAGGAAAAAACATTTTTTTCTACAAATATAACCTTTATTCCACATTCTTAGAACTATCTTAACATAAATTTCGACAATGGACATTTTTTTTACTTTGGACAACTTTTTTTCAACATTGACTTGAATTTTCACGTGACATACTTTTTCTAGACACATCTTATTCCCGTTTCGTAACGTAGACTAAGCAAGAAATATTATTAATTTATTTTAAATAATGACTTAATAACTCAACGTGTCGAATTCAATTTAATCGTGTAATAATTTATAATTCTAAACTAAGGACTATTAAGGTTCTCTCACCTTTGTTTTAGCCTCTTGTGTTTATCTGAATGTTTATTTTATTAATGTTTTCTTAGAGTTTATTATGTTTTTAATTTTCTTTTAATTTACAATGTGTCACCTATTATTATGTATAGTACGGTAAACTGTAAATAAATGAATATTTACAGGCACACACCGAGCATGTACCCCATCTCGCCAGCAAACGCCGGCTTCCGAAGTCCATATCCCACAAGTTTACCCATCACGAGTTCTAGTTTACCAAGGTCAGTACAAGTATATTTGGTACTATCAATAAAAATCATTTTTTCGCTTATTTTTTCTAATTCTTTCTAATTCACCAAGCTTCACCACTTGAAATGTAGTTTGTAATTAAACTGTATTTTGATTTTTCAGTGATCTCTACCGGTTTTCACCAACAGGCCTTATGCCTCCGCATCCTGGCCTGAGTCCGCACGCACACGCTCTAGCGTCGCACGCGTTGGTATCCTCGGCGCCGAAGGCGGATCACTCCACCCTAGATCACAATCACAGGTTTGTTATGACTCTCAACTTCGTATCGCTGGCGACATCTGAACAGTTAGTAGCAAAGCCGACATCGATTATTCCCGTCTAATACCCAATATCCCTTGTCCTTCCACTCAGTTCGATAAACTTTGCGAGATTTACCACGAACAAGTTTCTCGAACGTCGGCATCACTATCGGTCACGAAAGTCTCGAAACGTTTAGCAATGACTTGCGAGCGATCCACGATTACGTTAATGATCTAACAATCAATTATCAAGACGAGGACTGTTGTACATTTGATATACAAGGAAGAGAGAGAGAGAGAGACGCAGACGGAGACAGAGAGATGCGGCAAAAAAAGGTGCCATAATCTTTGAAACGATGCGGCATAAACTTTCAAAGGCAATTAATGAACTCACCGACTTGCCGCTTGGGATAGTTTTATCTGCCAGCACTTGCAGTACCATCATCGATTAATTACTCCGCCAAGGATGTAATTAATTTATAATACGTCGCGCGTCGTTTTTACTCACGCGTGAACAAAACGGCTGTACGACGGCTCGTCATCTACAAGTTAATAAAATGAGTGATACAAAAAATTTGTATGAAAAGAACATTTTAACCTTGGCCGATGTTAAATAATATTTTGAAAAAATGATATACATAGAAAATGGTTCAGATCTACTATAGACCACAATTTCTTCATTAAGAAAACAATGCTAAATATTAACATAACTAAATAATTAAGAATGTAATCTTGCATTTATAGGAACTATAAATATAATAGTTGCAAGACTACATTGCGATTATGGCAACTCAGTTAATCTAGAGTTTATTTATGAGAAAAAGTCTGTTGATGAACGAATCAGTGGATAACTTTATTATTAATTCGACATTATCCATCATCGAGTGGCATTCTGCGAGGATATTGTTGACCATCTAGACATTATTTACCGGATGACGTTCTGTAGAATTCCGCGAGAATCTTCCTAACCGCCCTACGATTGTGTGCCGATTCAACCGTACCCCATGGGTTGCGTAAGCGCCACGTGCTTGGTTTGAGTTTTCGCTTGACAATCGATAAAAATACTCGAATAGCGCTGACAACTGCAAGACGGGTCGCGTACCAACGCAGCGCGTCTGCTGATAAGGAAGCGTCGTGCCGAGGGTGAGACGGGATAGTTGCGGCGCAAGGATCGTAGGGGGTAGCACGTCTCAACCACCCCGGAATGTTCGAACGACCGAACCCCTCGTCGCGTGCACTCTTCACTCTTCACTCCTTTGGTAGTCGAGAGAGCACGTATAACACTTATCGAATGATTCCCTCTGCACAGCGTCTGCGCCCGTTATCCCGACGTTGCCGCCGTCGACGCCGCCACCGACGCCAGTTATGTATTGATCATTACCCTCTTAAACAGATTTCTAATTTACATTAGTACTCGGGCGATCGCCCGTCCCGCATCCGCGCATACAAAAACGCGTGGTATACGCGTGCGACATACGCTCTGCTCTCTCTCTCTCTTTATCCTCCCTCCCCCCCCCCCCACACACACACACACACACATATATATATATATATATATATACATTGCGCGCAAGTGCGAAGCGTCACAGCTGACGCATTTTCCTGATCCATCGGCGACGCATTCACGGAAGTAGTAGCATCGCTTCTCCGTGTGAAATTCGTATGCGTTTGTACGTTTGCAACCCCATTACTGCCGCATCAGTGGTACAAAGCACTCTACTCTCTACCCAAAAGAACAGATGGATGCCTTCAGTTTCAATTTTGGTGAATAAATCGTGAGGATGCTGTGTTTTGCAGAGACAGATGAGGCGGGGACGATAAATATTTTTTTGGATTTTATTTGAGAACGGAAGCAATCAGTCAGCGCGAGTGCAAATTATCATCGACCGTTGAGTGACGAAATACATGGAATCAGGCGTAGCAGAACAAAGTTCTTCGGAGAGGAACACTGATATATCGAGAAAGGAAAAGGAGAAAATTGCTCGGAGAAGTACGAAGGTCGCGATATCGAAGTGATCCATCCTGCTAGGTCGCCGCACCGCTGGCAAGTGCTGGCGAGTAGCGAGTGGCAGCAGGATATCCAGGCTGATGAGTGGTCGACGTCGACGGCAGCGCCGCAACAACGACAATTCGCCAGAAAAGGAAGAGTCGCAGCGGCACGTAGAAGAGGAAGGCCGCGGAGAATGCGATATTCGCTGCATCCCCCCCACGGCCACGCTGCGCTCCCAGAATCGTAGAACCGGCTGATGGTAGGGTTGTCTCTATCGCCGCGAGAGCCATGAATCGCGATGATGCCACCCATCCCGCGATGCCACCCTCGCGCAACCCCGCGCCACTACTCCCCCGGCCACCCCCAGACTCGCCGATAATCAATCGTCGTAACACCGGTCGGTGGTGATTCCGCTGACGCCAGAAACGAGCGCGTTTGAGACGCGCGGCGGAAAGTGGGAGAGAGATACGGAATACCGTGCGCGCGAGGGAAATCCGGCGCGAGGACACCCCGAGGCAACCCGCGCGGAGAGAATTCGGAGAACCTGAGATCGGAAGGGAAGGCGAGGTGCCGACTGCCGACGCATATCGAGAAAGCGTAGAGTTTTCGTGCGGGCGTACGCGATAAACGTCACTGGAAATCGAGACGAGAGGGTGCGTGTTGAACGCGATACGACAAAACGAGCGCGCTATAGTCGTCGGCGTCGGATGAGATAGACGGGGTGTTTGGTGGGTATATAGAGCCACCAACCCTCTGCTTGGCGGCGGTGGAGGCGGGAGAGGGGAAAAGAGAGAGAGAGACAGGGAGGGTGGGTGGTGAGAGAAGAGGAACGGAAAGCACGCAGACAGGGACGGAGAGAGCGAGAGAGAGATATGACGAATGGGTGACCGTGGGATGCCGCCCCTGGAGACATTTCACCGCACGAATCGCCGGGTGACGAAGTCGCGTCAACGACTGGCGCTGCCAAAGCGGCGGCGGGCGAGCACGAGCACGAGCGCGAGCGCGAAAATGAAGGCGCGATCAAGGACGGCGTAGGGATGACGGTGACACTGCCATTAGGCACGTCGTACGTGCGGACGATGCGCGGCAAATACGACGGCAACCACGTACGTCTCGAAGGCTTCCAGCGGAGCGAGGCTGCCGCCAGCGTCTGGCGGACCATTACGGACGGCGCGTAAGTGTCGTCGTGTGCGCCACCGCCGCACGTCGTACGTGCTGTTTACAACGGGCTGACCGGTTTACGGGGCCCCGTTCCGTTCCATCGTTTTACGCGCTCGCTATAGCGCGACGGGAGCGCGAGGATGTGAATGGAGAGTGTAAATTCGTCGAGTGCCGCGGCTGGACCCCAACGAGCTTGTTGCCTACCTGCGATGCCGCGAATGACGGGCAATATTCTCTTTCGCTGGATTAACGATCAAGAGTAACAAGAGGGAGGGAGGGAGATGAGGCCGCCGAGGGTCGCAGCGAGAGGGATGATCTAAGACTCTCTAGAGTGCCATCGAAAGAGAGAAAGAGAGAGAGAGAGAGAGAGAGAGAGAGAGAGAGAGAGAGAGAGAGAAAGAGTGCATCGCGACTCGTTCGTCCCGTGACAATTAAGTCGAACAATAGCGCGGGTAATCGCGTGGCGTTTAGGATCGTTCCATGGATCGATTTGGATCACTCGGGCGGTGGGCCCGCGAGTAAGCACGAGGCAGTAGTCCCATATGTGGCGATGGAGCCAGCCGAGTGCCTGGAGCCGCTGAACTTGGTGATGAAAAAGGACGACACTGACGACAGCGGGCCGACCAGGACTGTGATCGGAGTGAAAATTGCGGAGGCGTCGATCGACGAGGAGGAGAAGGACGCGCTCGCCGTCGTAGCCGAGGAGAACGCGATCGAGGATAATATGGCGATATTCCAGGACGCTGTCAAGTCCGCCGAGTCCGGTGGCTTACCAACCGCGGATCACAAACTCTTGACCGCGCTCTACATGAGCAGTCTCGTGCAGATGTCGAGCTTGAGCGCGCCGGCATCGCGCGGCATCGCGCCGCCGCCATACGCCAGCCAGCAGCAGCAGCAAAACTTTATGCAGCTACTGGCGATGGTGGAAGCGCGACATCGCATGTGGCAGCAGATGAATTGGCCCCTGCCGCAAAGCTTTCTGAGGAGCCCGTTGACTCTACCACCGACCGCGCCATCCTACTTTGACGGCGCGACCACGACGCCGACGCCGACGCCGCCAAGCCTGACTGATCAGCTATCCCAGAACTCCGCGCCGACCTACCCTCTGTCCTGCGCGAAATCCGAACCCCTGAATTCCGAGGTTAAACAGTCCTACTTCAATAAACGGTACACATACGCAACGACGATCGATGGACTTTACAGAATTAGCGTAAATCGCCTCCAACAAACTCATCTTGAATATTTTTTCTCACGTGTGTGTTGCAGGTCAACGATAGAGCAGAAAAACTCCACGTCGTTACCTACGGACAATTCGAAAGCTCAGGACACGGGACAACAAAATAATCAAGGTAAGGATACGCGGGTAAAATCGCCGGTACGCGTGCATAGCCACGGTGCTGCGAAAGCATAAATATCTGACGCTATCGAGGTGGAGATGGTTCATGTCATCTCGTTGTGTTGTTTCGGCAGATAAAAAGAAACCCCATATAAAAAAGCCTTTGAACGCGTTTATGCTGTATATGAAGGAGATGAGGGCGAAGGTTGTGGCAGAGTGTACCTTAAAAGAGAGTGCCGCGATCAACCAAATATTGGGAAGACGAGTGAGTAAACCTTCTATCTAAACATTTTTCAGACTTGAAGTAAATTCTTCTACATCAGAGTAGCAAATTTGGACTTGTGTGTGGTTGGCTTATCCCAATTTAACAGTTCTTTCTTTATCGAATATCATTATCATCTGCTAATAAGATATAGAAAATATTTGAGCTACATTCGGATTGTTAATAAAATTTTTCTATTGCACTCTGATGTAAAAATAATTAAATTGTGCAAAAGTCAATATTTTCTCTTATCTCGTAATGGAATAAGATTTTTTAATTATTTCATATATATATGTATGTAAACATAGAGAGAGATAGAGAGGGGGGAGAGAACAGAGAAAGACAGGGAGAGAAAGAGGAGAAATACATCTAATTTGTTTCTTACCAGAATTTTCATTTCCAGCAATTTACTCAGTTTGCTCAAGTCTACATTTTCTTTATATCGAACCGACTACGTTAGAGCTACTGAATTAATATATTTTTATATTAGAAACCAAAAGTTTTGCTATTCCGGTTTTAACATTTAATAAGAGATAGAAAAAGAGAAAATATTGGTTGACCGTTAATTAAAATATTCCAAACGAGTTTTCGTTCTGAATACACGAGTACTGCATGTATTTATAATGCTTTTGTCGAACGAATCGTCTATCGGATTACTAATCGGAGCTAACTAACTGTACCTACTAGTATCTCAGTAAGAATAGAGCATTGTAGGTGGGATCTAAGGAAATCTCAGATTCGCCTTGATAGAAAGAACGCTGGGGCAAAAGGGGAAGGGTCGAAGAGTGGTTTTTGCGGGTCTCGTGAGACACACGTGACGAGTCACACGAGTCAATGATAGACTTGTCCACTTGTCGCTAGTGGTAGATAAGTTCGAGCGAGCGAGCGAGCAAGAGAGAGAGAGAGAGAGCGAGGGAGAGGGAGAGAGAGAAAGGGAGGGAGAGATAATGGGGAAGGTGCACGGTGATAAATACTGTGAGGCTATGAATCTGTGAATCTGAATTTTGGGGGTATGACACGCAGTGGCACTCGCTAAGCCGGGAGGAGCAGGCGCGGTATTATGAGGCGGCCAGGCAGGAGCGCCATCTGCACCAACAACGATATCCCGGCTGGAGTGCCAGGGATAACTACGGATATGGCAGCAAGAAGAAGAAGAGGAAGAAAGAGCGATCCGCAGATCCCACCGGAGGTACCACTTTCCAGTGCTAGAACAGCAGGCCCTTAATAATTCATTATATAATAATTGCTAGTATATACTTATACTGGTTGATTGAAACGATCAAAGTCTCTGTGCGTTTCTTTTTTCGTACGTTTCTTTTTTTGCGTTATTTATTTATTTATTTATTATGATTTTCTGGCATTCAATCTTTTTCCACGTGCAGGCTATATCTATTTACCGACATATATGTACATCTCTTGAATATTTTATATATGTACATATATGCATATATGTATATTTTATCGTTTTTTGAAACTGAATTGGATTGGATTGTCTGTGGGGATTGTGGAATGTGGCACAGCAGAGAACTAAAAAAAAAAGAAAAGTACAAAAATAAGAAACAAGAAACAAAAAGAAATGGAAGAAAATCAACGCGAACTCTCGCGGCATGCAATGCAATCTCTTTTTTTTTTATCTGGCCAAACTCCCTAAAGCGGTATTCGTTCGGTGAACAAGAAGAAATGAGATGAGACAAATAATATCGTCGATGATGCGATAATGAGAGCGAGAGTGAAAACCAAAACCTTAGGTACGGGATGTCTGGTAGAGGACCTGACCATTTTTTCTCCTTTTTGTTTTTCTTTCTCACCACGGCCACGGGGCGACATCCGCTCGCAGTCGCTTCCCTTTTAAGATAAACCGTGTTACGACAATTTAACGAGAACTGTCCATCGACGATGCCTCGTCTCCTTCAAAATTCATTTCTACTCCTTCTATTCTCCCGTTCTCATAAACATCCACATTTCAACATACCCGTGAAATGAACGGAGAAATACCCCTTTACAATTTCAATGGTACAACTCGTACGTGGAGAGGAATTGGAGCAGGTGGTAAACGGAAATACACTGGAGGAACATTTTGCGGTTTTTGTTTTATACATATATCTTTATGAAGAACCCATATCACCGAAAGAATTGAAAGATAGTGAAACCTAATTGAATCGTCAAGCGTAAATGCAATCGTCTAACAGCAGATTTGTAATTCTCAGTTTTTTAATCACGCTTTAATAAGAGTGAAATATAATTAATAAATTAGAAAAAAATTTTCAGTTGGCCGAAATAGTATATTATTATTATTATTATTATTATTATTTTATAATCTTATATATCTTAAGGATTATATCTTCCACTGATTGCAAGTACATCAACTACGTATGGTGTTCTTAAGAAATACGTTTTCTTCAGTGTATAAACATGCCAACGTTATTTTTTTTCACTTTTTCATCCATACGCGTACTCCAATAAAATTATTTACCGTCTACTCATTAAGTCGTATTCTCTATCAGACACCCTGTATGCCTTAGGTTGTTATTAATATCGACCACATGCGACGAATAGCGGTGCGACCGAGGGGGAGGGGACAACTTAGGCTGTTCTTCTAGCACTTTAAACGGAAAGTAGGGACCCCAGTGTTACTGAAATGCTATGAGGCAACGAGATATTGCTAAGAAAAAAATAATAATGAAATAGATAACGAAAAAGTAATAAAAAATTAATTTCTAAATAAAGTGAGCTAACTCTAATTTTTATGCAATTAGGGTGGCGGCAGTAGCATTAGTGAATTTTCTTTTTTCTTGATTAAAAATATTGTTTAGTCCACACACGGTTCATGCACAATTACAAAAAGTGTTTGGTTCTCTCTCGGTAGTGGCACGCGCTAGGGCGAGAGGAACAGGCCAAGTATTATGAGTTGGCGCGACGGGAGAGACAGTTGCACATGCAGCTGTACCCTGACTGGTCTTCCCGCGCAAATACCAACCGAACTAAGAAGAGGAAGCGCAAACAAGACACAAACAGTGATCCTGGAGGTACCCACATGCCTCACTCCACACATTCTTACAATCCCCTCGTCATAAGGAAAGAGCCCCCGCCCCCTCCACCCTATTCATTATTACATATATACTATTATATTATATTATACATTCTTATATTGCTACACTATATTATGTTGCATGTTTTCCTCCCCGTCTTAGGGGTTTTGGGTCGATATCTATATTATATTTCATATATATATATATATATTTTACACAAACACAGAGACATATATATATTTGATTATGACTATATTATTAATATTATTATACACACGCATATACGTTCATATATATATATACATGTGACTCTATTATATATATATATGGTCTCTTAAATTTTAGTCACGAGTACGGACGTGCACATACGCATGCGCACGTGCGTGCCTACATATCTGCATTATACATTGGCAACATGTGACACATTACGCATAGGATATACATGCACATATCACACACACACGCACACACACACAAAATCGAGACAAACATCATGCATTTTATTATTAATTACGTATACAACTTTGGGGACGCTGGCCATTTTGCATTTATACAGGGACCTACTCCGCAATCAGACAATCCTGAGCGTTTAATTTTCTTTCAGCCTTTTCGCCTCTCTCTCTCTCTCTCTCTCTCTCTCTTTCTCTTTCTCTCTTTTTCTCTCTCTCTCTCCTCTCTCATATTTTCTTATTTTATAAATATTTGTCTCTTTCGTCTTTTTTTCCTATTATTCTTTCTCACTGTCACTCTCTTATTCCTGTACTTCGATTCTTGATTCGTACATTTATTTTTCTTTGATCGTTTCAATGTTACCATTTCTTGATTTTTATTCTAATTTTATTTTATTATTTTTGTTCTGTCGTCACTTTTAATCGAGTCATTTAGTTTATTCTCGACCTCCACATACGAAAATTTTGTCCACTAGCACTCGCGCGATAGAGCGTTCACATCCATAATATTTTAGATATTTTTTAGATATATTCCGGAGCTTGCGTTTATAATACAAGTCACGACATTTCAACTGAGTAGATCTTTGATCGTGTTTTTAAACTGTTTTAACGTTAACGTTGCATGCTATATTATTTGTTTGACAAAGATATGAGCCATTTATTTGGAAAGTGACGTAAGTCCGATCTCTGAAACAAATTAAATGAATTTATCGTAATATCTTGTTAAAATTTTTACCATTTTAAAAATAAATTGCATTGCTTTCAAAATAAGTGATTCACATCTTTGTCAATATATATGGATCTTTCCTCGAAGACTATCAATCTCATAGAGACTATCAATTTCACGAGATTATCTAAATGAAATTTACGCAATTATACTCTTGTATTTCTTATTTGTCCGTGACATATTTTCATGTAAAATCTATTTTTTGATGTGTTATATTTGATATCGATAGCATCTTCGATGAAGATCTTATGACATATCGTTTTTTACAACCCTTTGAGATCGTGACACCGAAATAAATTTTTGTTACATTTATTTTAAAGGACTTTTATTTAATTCTGGAATTATATCTACGACTTTTTAAGTAATCTGCATAAGTTGCAATATATCGAACTCGTAAAATATTTCTCTGGAAGGCTTATCCGTATTAAAAATCCGTAATGCGTTTTGATAATTGGTGTTCTTAGATCTCAAAGGGTTAATCGTTCTGTTACACGCATGACTAGTTGACATTCGTTGAGTTCATTTAGCATTCACAGAAACATAAGTTTAACGCAAAAACTCGAGCACTGATTCACTCTACTACGTAGATTATGTAGTTATCGCATTGAATCGTACACGATAATTTTGCATTGGTTTGTCAATATATAACATCCATATATATTATATATATCATTACCTGTTTTTCTCTATCACGTGATTATAGTATTACTCGAGTTGGTTTTTTTTTACATCTTTCTCACACGGCGATGTCAATAACTACGTCATTCTTTTGACAGAATGTAATTAGGTCAAATAGTAATCCATGAGCTTGCAAACAATTCACGATCATTGAATTAATCGTTGCTGTTTTATTTTTTAGGTAATAACATGAAGAAATGCCGTGCCAGGTATGGATTAGATCAGCAAAGCCAATGGTGCAAACCCTGCAGGTATGTGTGCCAATTTTGTGCAGCAACTTCCTTTCGATAAATCTTGTGCTTCAGCGATGAGACAATCGTCAGACCGCGCATACGATCAACGCGATTCGCGTGTACATATGTGTTAAATTTTACGGAAGTCAGTGTTTCGACAACGTCTACGTTTATCGTATCATCATATATTTTTAAAAAATTTTGTCTTGTCCGTCATTAAATCTGATGTAGAGGATGTAGTACACGAAATATCTTTGTTCATCGATATTGTTAATCGCGGAAAAGAGAATCCCGAATTCTTCCGCGTAATGTCAATCCTCTGTGTGTTTTACTTAAAATATAACGAGTATATAATTTAATACTTGACGGTAATGACACTCGAGTAGCTACTAAAGTATACTCTTTAGAAACGACTGGATAATACGGAAACTTTTGTAAACGAATTTCGACATGTACTAACGACCTTCTTCAAGATTGCTCGCGACATATCGATCACGATTCTAGTATCCTCGACTTTCGCTATCTCTATCGGTCTCGGACCCCGTCATCCGTTCCGTCATCCACATGTTATATGTTATCTATTTCTATATGAAAGTTGAAAGAGAGGAGACACCGCCAAATGGCATATCTCCAGAGCGTATATGTATACAAGTATCGATGATGTGATACGATGCGATGCGATGCGATGCGAAACGTCATACGCAACAGGGTCGTCTCGTGTCAGGAACAACTCGCGCTTGTGGTACTCTCTTCCTGTTGAATCTACAAGTATAACATAAAGCGAAAGAACGAGGAAAGAAAAAGAAAAGAGAGCGCAGCGCAAAGCTGCGCGTGACCGTCAGAAAATGTGTCTTCCAAAGAGAAAGAGAAAAGCAAAGGGATGAACGACCAGTCTCCTCCGTAGTCGCGAGTAGGCGCAACGCCGCCCAACGACGCCCAAACGTGTCCAACCGTACTTGTCTTGTAAATATCGGTTTCTAGAAGCGCACTTTCGTAGTTTGCCGCGAAGTCACGAGCCACCTGTGTTTTTAGCATCGACTATACATTATGCTTCATTGTCACGGCGTAGCCCAAATGCCCCAACTCCCGGCTGGGTTTGTGAATCTCATGGACCTCATTAAAGGGGCGAGAACGAATCCCATTGACGGTTTTTTCTTTTTCTTTCATTTATATTACACGATAAGAAAAGGAGATAATCTTGAGAGCGATCACCAGATTAAGCACCATTTGGAGAACGTAGTCTGCCAACGAATCTTGCCGATCTGGTCGGCATTTCATTATCGCGTGCATGGGAATGAATTAGAAGCGTGTAAAATTTTCGTGTCGTAAAGCGTGTAAAATTTATCCTGCCTTTTTCTTTTTTTCTTTCTTTTTTTCTATTCGTCCTGCCAAAGTCGAGATTGAGATCTGGAATACCGGAAGCACCTAGTTTGTTGCATTTGGACTTGGCCGACTGCACTCTGCATTGAATGCACGTAACTTGTAACTTACATACCGCCTGTATAAGACGTCATTGTGCTTTCAATTGATCATGTTATCACGGATATTTGAGAAATAGTTATTATATTAAAGGATTGTAAAAAATGTGTGAGACAATAGGAATATACGCAAAGCGTAGAGCAACCACGGATGTTCGCGGCGCTATCAAGCGTGTCAAGATCAATTCTATCAACTACCGCGTCAGCGCGGATATTTGGGAGACATATTTTCTGATCGATGCAACAATCGCTATATCTTGCGCCGTCTTTCTTCGTTCCGCTTCTAAAATCTAAGCTCGTTCTAACGGGGCCGGCAATGCTGCAACTACGATTTCTATACAACGTTTAAACCTAAATTCTAAATTATCAATCAATTATCTTTTATTGCTCAAATTTTATGTTCTATTATTCGGAAATGTGTCATTCTTCTTTTCAGAAATATATATCTATATGTTTGTCAACTAGAAAAAGTTGGATTAGCAACCATTTCTTATTTCTTACATTACAGGATAGTGATATGAAAGTAACGAAATTATGTCTGGCATCGATATCGTGCATTCCAGAATGTAAAAATTGCGTATAGCAAAAGTTGATAATCTCGATAATCAAGTACTGGTAATCGTCGGCCTCGTTTTCGCGATTTTACTATCACGAGAGATTTAGGGAGCGCGAAAGTTAGAAAAGCGGTAACACACGTTCGATGTAGACACGTGCGTGTGGGTGACGACACGATACGGTGCGAGATTGAGGTGGGATTAAGTCGACGATATGTCTTAGCGAGAGAGCGCCCCTTTAATGGCTGGTGGTTGGTTTTGGCAGCCCAGTGGAGCATGGAGCGGGGATGGGCATCCACGCGAGCATAATCCATCACGGTGTGGGAAGTAGCGCGGGGGCAGGGGTCGGGGCTGGAGGCGGTGGAGGGACGGTGGGGACAGCCGCCGCCCCGCCAAATACCAACACTGCCTCCAATGCCTCCTCGCCTCAGCAAGAACCCACTTATGTTAATCTCTAGTCAAGCCTATCGCCTCCCTTCTACTGCAACACTTCTTCTTAAACAGTGGTCAGTCCCGACTTAAAACCTACGGGCCTTCGTCGGTCCTCGCTATGGCCGACCAGCCGCTCGATAAATAGCTCGAATCATTTCGCTGTACCTCTCGTAACTATAGATGTCAAACTAGATGCTTTTTTTCTCTCTGAAACTTGACGGGGACATATAGCTCGTTAGATATCATCGTGGGAAAGTACGAGCGAGGAGTCCCATAGTAAGCGGCACGACGGTGGCCCGTGATGCTCGCATTGTTTCTCATTGTTGTGGCTCTTTACAGCTTATTATTGTTATTTATTTATCCCTCTCGTTTAGTTGAAATTTACTCAGTGTTGCCCTTAGCATGGCTGATCTGTAATATGTATCATATTATGTATACATATATGTTTCTACACACACACACACGCACACACACACACGTAACAATTATTTATTTCGATTTCGGAACGTTTGACACATAGAAAGTCTTTGTATATTTTAATTTTTTAGCATGACAGAATTCATACGATTAAGACCGGATAATTGCGTTGTACGGATATGTGTTCTTTTTCACATTTTTTTTTATTTTTAATATCTAATCATTTTTTTGTAATATTTTTTATACAATAACACCTTTTTATACGTACAGTAACCACTTAGATACTTCTTTGGAAAAGAACCGCGTTGGCTGAACGCGTAGAATGGAATTTAAGTTGAAATTTTGCACAATTTCGTATTTTGTGTATATAATGTATCAGACTAAACCTCGAACTAGATTGCAACTGCAATTGCAGTTCTTTTAACAAGATAGCTGTTGTCATATCTATATAAAATATTTATTTTGTTCATTCTTATTTAAATAAAAGAAAAAACGCGAGAATTATTATTTCTCTTTAAGATATCTTGTGAAGAACACGATACATTTTATGAGTACAAATCTGATGAATATGATTCCCGTGATTCGCATATATCAATGCCTTATGTAACAAAAGAATAATGTATGTTGCAATCCAGCACGAGATTTTCGACGAGTACTCATTCGTTGTCGCGCACTAAACGGATATTAACTTCCGTAAATTTTGTGTAATGCTTTGACATTCAAGTGTGACTGCGAGTTAATAGCAACTTCCGTCGTCCTCGGCAGCACGACCGATAAAACTAACTGATTTAGCTGAGAGATAAATAATGAGAGCCAATGGCAGAGCGGCAAAATGTCTCGACTGCGAAGCAGTTCTCGGACGAGGTCGGACAGGCTCACTTGTGAAAATTGTGCAGTAGCAAAACGCCTCTCTTCCTCTCGTCACACGAAATCTATTCTATCAATGTCCACATCTTTTACGCGACTGAAAACTTTACTTTAATACACTTAGTCGCAATATTCCAAGTTCCACGTAACATCCTGTATCCACTCGAGTACGTCAATTGGCCATTTTATGATAAATCGACGCCGAAAAAAGAACGCGGGCGCGGTTCCCCATGGAATTATCGATTTGCGGATGATCAACGATTCGATAGATGATGCCCCCTGGCATTTCAATTGAGTTTGATTTCCTTTGTCACGTATAAATTTCTTACACATTATGCTTGTTACGTCCAAAAATTTTGAGCATGGCATTTGCGAGCGAGTGATCAGTGTCGAGCAATCGAAGCATTGTCAGGCGCACAAAGATCGTCAATCCCTCCAGCAATTGAGGCGTTAGAAAACGAGATAATTTACTACAACTCGAGATGAGAAAAGTTTGTGCGTCTGACTTTGCGATGATGACGAGTAATCGCATGTTTTTTTTTTTAGTTGGTAACAATTTTACATAGATGTAATATTTTTCATGGATACTACGCATTTCCAATGGTGAGGATTCCATCGAATATCGAGCTCGGCGTAAAATGCAAAGAAAAATTTGCACAATTGAAAAAAATTTCGAGACAAAAGCCAAATTAAAGTTAACGCTGTTCGACGTTTGCCTGATTTGTCATAATTCTCAGATCGAGGCAAGCTTCGGACAATATTTTTACAGTAAAGAACTGTCCTCGATTTTATTTTAAAAAATTGTTAAAATATAAATAAAAAAAATTTGTAATATTTACATGACTCACTACTATCTAAATAAATTATCTCTCACAGATGGAAATCGCAGCGATCGAAAGACAACATTACGTCATGTTTCGAGCACACCTGGACGAGCGCGCACTAATCGGTTTTCTGTCGTTATTTGCAGACGTAAGAAGAAATGTATCAGATACATGGGGGAGGGAGGAGACGGCGACGGTGAAGCTGACGGTGAAGTCGAGGATGATCATTCGGAGGACAACCTGGGTAGCGTAGGAGAGGCGGGGACTCCTGAGGAGGACGAATCCCTGAGTAGTCCCGGAGGCCTATCCGCGTTGTCTAGCCTGGCGAGCCCTTCGTTGGTCTTACCATCGCCCTCGAGTCTGGCCAGTCCATGCCCGTGCCCGTTGACGCCTCCGGTGCCGCCCCCGCCTATGTCGAACACGAACCAGTCGGCGACGGTGGCAGCGACGACGACGACGACGACGACGGTGGCGGCGGCAGCGGCGGCGGCAGCGGCGGCGATGGCGATGGCGGGATCGGCAGCGCAACAACAGCAACCGCAACCACCTCCGCAGCCTCACCGCAACCCCGTCGGCACGAATCCTCACGACATTAACAATCCGCTCAGCGTGAACCAGCTGACCGGACAGTGTATAAAGAGCGAGCCCGCACCTTCGGGTCCCTCCAACCCGGCGATCAGTGTTACGTAGCCCCGGCCGGACCCACGTGACCGAACTGTTGCTACATGCGGTGTCATCTATAGGGTCCGTCTACGTATGCACGCGATGAGAAGGCTGGATGACGAGGAACCGACTGACATGATGACAGAAACAAAGAGAGAGACTTGGCAAATGAGAGATCAAACAAGTATCTCGCCTTCGTCTAACGTTTCTCTCGCAGTTCCAATTTGATTCAGGGGGGATCGGGTAGAGGTTCAAGGAGAGTATAATATTTTCGAAATGCCTGAAGATAATTCGAGTGGTCACTTACGAGTAATTGATCACGGCTTCGTTCAAGTTAGACGCAATCTACAATCTGAGCGGTACTGTTGACGATTCGGATTCGAATTCGGACACGCGGAATCGTGCAAATCGCCATTGTGGATTTATGTCGTCGCTTTCGATCGTTCTCTCCTGACCTCGCTCTTGTCCATTCGCCGAAGTACAGATCAGATCCAGTGTCCAAAGTGTCGGGAGTAACGATCAAGTCGTTACATACGTGTTAACGAAAGAACAGAAATAAATATTATGTGCAGAAATACTCAGGACCAAGTATTTGGTTGTAGTCACCCGCTCGGCAAAAAGACAAATGTAAGCGAGATGTAAGCGTGAGAGAATATATGTGCATGTATAAGCTTGCGAAGCTGGGGAAGAGCAAGGTGCACGTCTGATAATGCGACTGAGAAAGCAGGCTCATCGATGGTGCGCGTGACGCAGCTTGTAGTCCTTGTTACGTTGTGATGCCAATGACTGAGAGTCATGTTCCTGTGCCAGCTACTATACTCTAGAAAAGTAATTATATTGCAGACAAGTAGCTAGATGCGTAAAGCGGAGAAGAGCCGCAAGAAAGAACGAAGCGGCGCGCGCGTGCGCACGCGAAATGCGTTTTATTGTCATTCGTTTATTCGACCTCACCTCACACATCCAGTGTGTTAAGATACCTAACTTCTATATATATGGAATTTGTTATTTTTTTAAAAGTCTATACACACAGTGCGGTTGATTAGCGTGTAAGATCCTTATTACCAGCTCGTCGCTCACTTTCTACTCGAATATTTTTTTTCTTCCTCTCCCTACTTTCTTTTAATTCCCTTACTTCTCGTTTTTAATAATATTACCACCGATAAATGGCGCTATACGATCGATAAGGTTCTAAAGGCAACGTGGTTCTGTAGAACTTGTCAAACAAACTTTTCCATTTGTACGGAGTATATTACGTTGTTAATTACATAGTTATTAATACGTATTAATACTAATAATACGTATTAAACTTCGTGTTTTCATTGTCATTGTCGCAATCGACTTAACATCACTCGGTGTTTTAATCTTTTGATTCTTTCTTCAAATTGGATAATGATTTCGGCTATCGCTCGACAAATTCGCACTTCCGATTGAACAAAGACAACCACGGTAAATTAAAAGAAAGACTTTGGTATCAAGAGAAACGATCATCTTCCATAGGAAGATCGGAACGAATTGCATCAAGTCATTTGCGAACAGTGTCAAAAGTAATGTTTTGGGAGGATTATCCTGTAATATATTTCTCCTTCAAATTCCTATTCCTCTTTCCAGAAACATTTTCCGCCCCTCTTTTCATTCTTACGTGCTAACGTGACATGAGCGTTCGATGAGCGTGTAGCAATGTCCGATGCGACTTAAGGATTAGGCGATTTGTATAATCCATATGTGTGCGCATCAGAGAAATAAGTTTGCTTCTAAAATCGTGGAGTAGAAAGAAAATTTTTATCATTGGAACAATCGCTCAATGAATTAGGAAAGGACTTTAGGAAAAGAATTTTATACCTTGTAAAAACATTTTAGATTTTACTTATTTTTTATTTTTCTCTTATTAACGGAATTTAACATGCGCATTTCGGGCATTAGGATAGTGCAGGTTTTTGTTTCTAGATTTCAGTAAAATAATGTTACAAATATTTTTATTGGCAACTGTACGTTTTTTTTCTTATGTTTTAATATACATGATATATATATGCATTGTTTATCGTATCGGTGTAACGTGCAAATGTAAAACGTACTATTTGGGCAATTAATACGAAATAATATGAAATAATAAATATTTTTCATTATTTCACGAGTTTTTGTTGCGAAAAATCTATTACAGCCAGTAATCTCTTCTTTTCGTGAATGGAATAGAAATTGTTAATCATATAATGAAAGATTATATTATTAACAATATGATTCGCAATATTGTTTCGTAAAAGAATAGCTAGTTGTTTTATTTATCTTATCATTAAGATTTTTAACGTTGCTACTTTAACAAATTTTTATATTCTTTTATCGATTCAATGTTTTACATTTTTACGAAAGTTATAAAAATTTCCTAAACCTTGCAATAGGACATTTACACGGTAGTACGTTCCATAAGAAGCTAAAAAATTACACGTATGCGCAATTTCAAGGACGCCGAGTATATGCGATGAGAATTGTTAATGACTGATCTCGTTCCGTTACGCGTCATTTCAGTGCGATCCTAGTTTCTCTTTATCATCTTTATTGTCTAAACTGGAAAGAAATGCGCGATAGGGGTTCTTTATAACATAACAATTGTTCCACAAGCGTTTATTCAGAGAGCAATTTCTCTTTTGTACATAAAATAAATACGTTTTATAAGATGCATTTGTTGCGGCGCATGGGAAAGTGCAATGGAGGTGCCAATGAGAGAACGAGAGAGTGTGAGATTGCGCGCGTTCGTGCGCTACGAAACGGAAGTAGTCGTTGCACGAACGTCTATGACAATATCTTTTCCCTTCCCTCCCTACCGCAATGTGTTTCTCCCTCTTGTCTCTCTTTTTTTACTCTTTTATCTTTCAATTTTTTTTTTATTTTATCAACTGGAATCGTCCAGTGTCTGTATAGCGAATGGTGGAAAAGCCACTGTAGAAACGCATCGCCGAGTATAGCAGCGAACTAAACGTGCCATAACAACGTCATGCCAATATTACCTATAATACATATTGTTTTTTGACATTATAATCCATTCAACCTAGTTCCGTCGATCGTGGAGCATGGGCCATCTTGCCCCCTTTTCCCCTTCCTTCCATCACCCTCTTCATTCGATCCATCGTTCTCTCCTTTCCTTCCCGCCTTCTTCGTTTGTCGATCGAACTCGTTAAACAGACTGAAAATGGCATTTAGTGATGACTTTTTGCGAGTGTCGATTTTTGTTTCAACGAATGATTTGTGTGTGTGTGGGTGTATACATATATATGATATATACTATGTATATATACACATATCATATATATCATATATATATAATTTTCGAACAAAGCGAAAAATTTACTAGCGCTCGAACGAAAGAGAAATGTAGACTCTCGCGCGTATAGGACGTTCGATCGGGGAACCAAAGTACTTACCTATCGAAAAAGTACGGGGCAAGGACAACCAGCAACGTCTCACGAGAGACGAGTGCGAGAAAGAAAAGGAGGCGGTGGCAATGGCGAATTAGCGATAGAGACGTAGCCGGAAAGGGAAAACGAGACTCGCAAAGTCTCATGCGAGACGTTTAAATGTCGTACATGCGCTTGTGTATATGACGACGACTGTTACGCGTTACGCCGAGGAGAATGACGCCTGTGACGCCGGCCGAGTGGGACCGATTCCCTCTCTCGACGGACAATCGGGTGCTCGGCGAGGGAAGCGGTATCTCTCTTTCCTTCTCTCCTTCAAAGAGAAAAGGAAATATCGTAGATTATCTCGAGCCCACCCGTTGCCTCTCTTTTCGCTGTGCTAGGAACGACGAGACGACGTCGCTTAGGATTCGGTGGCGGATTGCTCGGAGATGCGAAAGCGTCGCGTTCGACCGTTTCACATTACCGGGTATAGAAAAAGAAACGTACCCCTGGGACGCGAAATGCGAGCAAAAATTCGCTCGACACGGCCTACAATCCGCTCGAGAAGAGAGAGAAAGAAAGAGAGAGACTAGAGAGTATCGAGATTTGCTCGCGAGTCGCAGATGACACCCATTTCCCCCGATGACGAGGGTGACCAAGCTCGTGCCGATCGAGTCGGGAGTTCGGAGCTCGTGTCTCGCTTCAAAGGAGCGATTGTACCATATTGTAAAGTATCAATCGACAGTTCTCAGCTGCGTTGTACAGTGTTTTCTAAGTATTTAGGCTGATAGCGCGCGTGTAATTGAGGAAAAGGAACATTGTATTTACACTAATAAGCGATCTGTATCATTCATTCTCGTATAGCCTGTACTCCTACTCATGTAGATGCTAAAAGTGATTTGTGTCATAAAGAAAACCTATAAATAAAATTAGCACTTTGAGAACGTTGTCGGCCGCGTGTACAAATTCTTTCTCACTTCCATTCATCTTTCGTCGTACGAGACTTGGCGAATAGAGAAAGGAAAAAATATAAAAACACCGATGCGGTTAACGTTTAAAATGGACGAACGTCTTTCGTTATCGAGAAGAAATGCAGGCTCGACACGTTAACCGCGTTCAGAGTGTACACGTTCGGCCGCTTAAGGTTGCAATTGGCCACGAATATCTTGGCCATCCTCGCGATACTATTACACCTGAACATGCATGCGGCGCCGTCGTAAGCCGGTCTGCCTCGATCGTTTCTCGAGCACGGGTCGAACATGTAGAATTTACCGTAATGCTGCATCACGGCTACCGCTAAATTGGTCGTGTGCAATATTCCGGCACAGTTCGCGCGGAAGAACATAGCGAGCGCTTCGGATAGATCAAAAGCGTCAAGTATTCCCGCGGTGGTGTGATGATTAATGTGAACGGTGACCCTCGAGTCACCTACGATGAACACGGTAAGCAGCTCGCTGGGCGAGAGGTTCCTGGCGCCCGATCGAGCGGCTCGGGCACTCTCCAAATACAGCGAGTCCCCGTATCTGAGAACCGCATCGATCAGCTCGGAAGTCCACGTGGAGGGCACGTGTAACAGTCCCATTACAACGGCAACCGCCGCGATCGCCGTGCTCTGCAGACCCCTGTTTCTCAGGCTGAAGGTCCGATGCGTCATGTGTAGACTGCCACGCAGAACGCTCAACTCCTCGTCCACGACGTTATACTCGTTCAGCGGCTCCACGTTCAACGTGCGTGTCTCTTTCGGGCAGGCAATTGGAACGGGTGGCGTCCCAATAATACGCTCTAAATATGGTCGAAAATCACCTGGACACGGCAGTGCCTCGATCACGGCGTTTCTCACGATCACGCGAGAGATCTCGAAAGTCCCGTATCTCTCACGTGGATCGATGTTGGCGAAAATTGTATCGTGCAAAGGTTCCATGCAAGCGAACCACATTACGCACGAGGTTCCGCCGGAATCGGGCAGACCCTGATCGTTTTTGGCTCTAGGATCGTACGTGAAGTAGACCCCTAGATCCTTCCAAATAGCGACCATTCCGCGATCGGTTACTAGAATGCCGGCACGATTATCTTGGAAAAATTTTCGCAAACCTTCCATGAGTAAAATTGGAGAAGAAGATAGCGGTCGTTCTCGTCGAGAACGATCTTTCTTCTTGCCTTTATCGATCTTTTCTTTCGTCTCTTCTCGCCCCTTCTTCTCGTCTTCCAAGACAAAAGGTGCAACCGCCACCAGACCGATCACGGTATTAGGCTCGATGTCAACGGTCAAAACATTAACACCTGAGAAAATGAATTCAAAAATTTATAAGTATAAACTACGTGTAAAAAAGGACGCGCGAAGAGATGCTACCGCATCTGTGATTAATTCTTATATCTTTTACCTTTAACTAATAACGTTACCTTGTATAATAATATTCAGAATGGTTATTATTAAGCAGCACGCGATATTAAAGAAAAACGACGGACGCACATACCCACATGGAATACTCTTATAATGTCCTTCAGTTTCGGTCTCAGCTCAGTAGGTCTGGTCTTTCTTGTCTCTCGGTGAACGCCAATGCCAATCGCCAAAATTTCGTCCATAGTTTTTTTCGTCCAGGTAACGGGGCTCTTGACGACCGACATACCGAGTGCAACAACGCAATTCGCTGCTGCCTGTCGGCCGCGTAGCGTCTCCGGAAAGATCTCGTCACCCTGATGATAGCTTCCGCGTAAGATAGCACGTGCTTCGCCTCGTAATTTTCTGTAAGCGTTCAAAGGAGGCAACATCGCTGGTCGAATCGCCGGACTAGGATCAAGTTCCCAGGGTGGTGGTTTATTCCAGTCCAGTACGTCGATCGCGGTAATTTGATAATCGCCTTCGGTTCCCAAGTGACGCAAAAGATATTCTACGAGAAGACTCGTATCTCTGAACCTAATCACTCGCGGTACCGTTGATACAATTTCTTCCGTAGTAGTGGACCAATCGGGTATCAGAGCGTAGTATGCGTTATCAACCTTCCATATGGCTAGATTTTGATTTTCCCGTACGGTCAACGCGCCAGCTTCGTACTTGCTGAAAAAATTATCGATTCCGGTCTGCAAATCTTGAATCTTGGGAGGTCTCCCCGCAAGATTACCCGCTTCAACACAGTCATTGATCGTCAGAGCAATGCGTCGAGAGGACAGGAAGAACTCGTTGATAATTTCGTTTACTAGGGGTACGCTCCCAAGTCTCTCGACACACTTCGAGTGCAGCTTGTCGCCAGTAACGATAATTTCATCAAGAATTGACGGTGTCCACTGTCTCGGTTGATAGACCTTTATTAATTTTCTTAATATTAGTTATTTTCGTGCAGTCGAGTTAAACATGAAAGTTAAGTAAAATTAAATTAAATTAACACAGAGAGAGAGAGAGAGAGAGAGAGAGAGAGAGAGACCTTTGAGAAGACAATGGTCATCGCGGCGATGGCCGCACTTTGCTTGCCGCGATTTGCCTCGTCAAACTTCTCATCTGTCATAGTGACGTTTCCGTCGATACTCCAGACACCGTTGGCGAGTTTGGGAAAATGATGCCACAGATCTTCACTAGAAGTCGTCTTCTTGATACGTTGGCCTTTGGCAACTCGCGTCTCGTACACATTCTCGATTGAGACGGCATCGATGACAAAGTCGTCGATCTCCCGTGTAACTGCTCGAAGAGCATCGGCTAACGAGGGGATATCGGTGAAGAACATCACTGCCGCAGCTCCGTCCTTATCTCTGGGTTCGCCTTGAGCGTTCCTGCCCCTAGGATCCATCGTGAAGAACACTCTGCCCTCCCTCCAAATCGGCATTATTACATCATCTTGACGAAACACTCCCATCGCGTTTCCCTCGAAAAACTGTTCCAGCAGTCTCGTCACTTCAGTCATTCTTCCGGTGACAGATTCTTCTTCAAGATCGACCGACATTCGATTGACTCCTATGACGAAGTCTTCCGCGATTTCCGATGGGAGAAGATAATACCTGGGAGATTCCTCCTCAGTCTCCACTTCAGGTAGATTTGCCAGGTTCTCGATGGTGAGTTTATCGCCGATCCTCAAGATATCGTCTACGAGTTCGCGATACCACAGATGAGGATTGTAAAGTTTTGTCATGGCCAAGGTCGTTAGAGAGTTAGCGGCCTGCTGCTTATCTCTCGTTTGTCGTTTGAAAGCCAATTCGTTTCTCTGATCGATCGTGCCCAAAAGTAAAGCGCCAGTATTGCCCAAATTGGAATAGTTATTCAAATCTGGCACGATCAATTTCTGTTTGTCCGCCTCGATCTCCTCGTCTGTCATCAGCGCGCCGATGGAGACATTCTTTAGCTCGTGTATCATGAAATCGTTTCCGCCTTCAACATCTTGCCCCGCATTCTTCTTAATGAGATCCGCTAACGCTGATAGATCCGAAGAGCGCACCAAGCAGGCAGAATTCTCTTCGTCTCTCTCCGCCGACAATTGATCTAATTTATCACGAGGATTCGGATCGAAATAGTAATAAAACGTCTCCTCTTTTTTGTCCTTGTTTCTATCTTTATCCTTGATCTTGTCCTTGATCTCCTCTTTGTCTTTCCACACCGCCACCGACAATCTTTTCGTCTCGATTATTCCATAATTTTTGCTCTCGAAGAATTGACGCAATCCTTCTTCCAGGTTTGGTAGTTTAGAATCATCCGATGCCGATAAATCGCCGACAACCGTTGCCTCTTCGACGTCGATGGTTACTTTTCGATTTTTGAAGTACAAGTTTTTCTTCAGGTCTCGGACAAGAAACAATCTTTCAGTTTCCTCTTCCGTTTCGGCAGGCTTGCACCAGTTGTAATAAGCGTCGCCCTCCTTAATCACTTCGTCGACGGTTTCGCTACTCCATTTCGCCGCTGGTGTTTCCTTCGCGCTCACCAAGGCTACAACTGGCATAGCAAGACCTTGAAGTCCTTGGTTCTCCTCCTCGAATAACTCGTCCACGTTGGATATTCCGCCTCGCAACACCCACGTCTTACCCGCTATACCGGGCTGAAACTCGTTCCAAGCTCGAGTGCCCGGCACGTCGTCCACGATCGTGACATGCCGGATAGTGAATCGGTCGTTTTTTCTCGTAGGATCAACGTTCTTTAGGAACAGCGCAACCAAGGAGTCCACGTTTGGAAATCGAATCACGCAACAATTTCCTATATCCTTCTTATCCTTCTGTATGGATACCTCCTCCTTCCTATCTCTCCCCATAATTTTGATAGCCTTTTCTTCCCTTATCCTGATGCCAGCAGCATCGCAGGGTCGAGGGTCGAACAGATAGTAACAGTCATCCTGGCTCCAGACCGCCGCCGCCATTGAAGTCGTTTCGATTACACCCCCCTCGTTCAGCAGAAAAAACTCTTCCAGTGCCTGCTTCAGATTCAAAACCGACGGAACCTTTGAGCTAATTGTACCAGTCACGGTGATCAGATCGACATCTATCACTAGTTTATGATCCCCTATTTGGAACTTTGTATCATTTAAATCGGCAGCTGTCATAATTTTTATTATTGGCTTGTCGGATTTGACGTTAGCGTACAGCGAGTCGCCCAGCATCAAAATCTCGTCCAGCTTTGACCTCGTCCATGTCTTCACCGGATGCACCTTGTTCATAGCGATAGCCATCACGCAATTCGCTACGTTTTGTCCGCCCTTACCCTTGTACAGTTCATTGCCTTCATGGGTCAAACCATGAATAATCGCTATTTTGCCGGGTAATTCCCTAAACGTGGACGGCACATTCACGCGCATGTCATCGTATGAATATCCTGTGTCAAAGTCGTTTCGATTCACCGGCAGTTCCGTGGCGAATCGGCGGTCGATGCTATAATTTGAAATGGTGATGGACAACGGTTCTTTCCGTATCCTTGCGAGCGTATGCAACTTCTCGTCCCTGGGCACAGGCTTGGTACAGTCCACTTTGTGATCATCGACGTCCACGGGATTAATGGATCGTAATACATTCTTCCGGACTACGGGTGGACTAATGATGTCGGCTAGACGTTGACGATCGACGAATCCACGACCGACCTATAATTTTTTTTTTTTTTACGTATGCATGTATTATATGCGCGTATGCGTGCGTGCGTTTATGTTTTTTTTTATATTACTTTTTCTTTTTTATGTAAATAATATATTTGCATTTTTTTAATGTAATATACTTGTTCTCTGTGCTAATCTGCTACACTACTATCGCCATTTTACTGCTGCTATTATTACCTCTGTGGCACTCAACATGGTGACCTTGATGATGCAGTATCGAGAGTCGTAGCGCCAATTCAGGTTCTTTAACAAATGGTCATTCAAGTCATTGATGAACTTGAACCTCATGAGGCAAGCTGTACCACCAGGATAACGCAGACCGGTCTCGTCGCACGATGCCGGATCGTAATAGAGGAAACCGGCGTCGCCAGACTGACGCCACACGGCGACGGAATTACCCTGAGCGGTGATCACCCCGGAATCATTGTCCTTCAGAAATTTTTGGAGGCCTTCGGCAAAATCTGAGCTGCCACCCGACTCGCTAACGAGATTGCCGTGGATACCGTTGTCCTCGATATCGACTAGAATTTTGTAGAAACCGACATAGAACTCATTGTGTACGAGATTGGTCCTCATGTATTCATCATCCTTCAGCTGGTTCCTCGTCAAGCTTACGCGGAACAATTTGTCACCGTATTCGAGTACTTGATCGATGTGATTCCTCGTCCACTCCTTCGGTTGAAACAGGCGACCGTAAACGATGGCCACCACCGAGCACGGTGCCGCTTGTCGACCTCGACTTTTGTGCTTGAACCGGCGATCGCTCATCGCATGGGAACCTCGAAGAATAAACGAATGTGACGTTAAAATTCGGAAGTGATGCCATCGTTTTCCGAAATCGCTGCGAGGTGGAATTTCTTTCCCTTCAGTTTGTCCTACATCACCTTCGCCGACACTGCCAAGATTCTCCATGCCTTTTAACTTCGGGGTGAAGCTTTATTTTTCTATTGATATTTCTCTCGAGATATTCAAGCATCCGAATGTACATGTGTGTTTCTTGTTCGTAAAAAATAAATAAATTAAAAAAATTTAACAGAGAGAGGCATATATTACGTAATATTTGTGATAATTCTATGAAATTTAGTACTCATTTATAATTAAATAGGACTTACCTAACCCATGATAAGAATCACTAACCGAATAAAAATGGTATTAAAATATACACTTTTGCTTCGCGCTTTTAATGATAAATGATATGAAAATTATTGCAACACAGATTATTTTGCTTTGGGGTTGTTCCACTTGTAGATTTACGAGGAATCAATGATCAAAATAAGCCTTAGGCAAAGAAAGACATATGTCAAAAGTTTAGTTTAAAGCCGAAACAAAAGGTATCGTCAAAAATTAAACTTGAAATATAAAGAGGAATTTATAACGATCTTAAAGATAAGAGATGTACAGAGAAACAATACGTCGAGTAAAGTATACCTAAAACTTTATTACAGCAACATACGAAAAATGTAATAAATATTATAAATACATATATATATATATATATATATATATATATATATGTATAAAGTAAAGCCAAATACAACTTGCTCTTCATTGTAATAATATCGATGTTTTCTAATGACGAATAATCATAAAAATTTATGTACAATGTACGGATAACAGAAATCAAACTGCTTATTCAATCCTCAAGAAATTTAATACACGGAGCCGCAATTATGTCCCGCGAACAATCAAAAAACTCTATTGTACGTCATATAACGGTAATAAAATTTTGATTAGCTTTCACACAATAACAAAAGCCCTTTTGCTATTATTCTTTATTTACAACGCATATATTCCTTCCTATATTATACGTATATATACTTAACTAATCACATTATTGTAACAAGTTACCAAAAAATATCTACACGTAAAAATATAGATATGTATTGTATATACATATATAAACACGCTATTATATCTGCGCGCGCGTGCGTGAATGCCACGGTTGCAATACAATGTGTACATATATATACGAACTCAATTAATTATATATATATATGTATATATACTTGTTACTTCTTATATAATTAAACATCAACAAGAGGCTTTTCCATTAACAGAAGAAGCTTTCCCTTATCGTGTGCGTGTAAATATATCATTTTTATAATACATATTTGTACATGTACACGTACAGGTATTTGCACATGTTTTACGTCTGCGTATACCTAAATCTATACACATGCTCGAGAGTATCTTTTGGCTTACATCGCAAGTCTCCATCCGGGAGATCCAAAATATCGTTCTCAACGTTGAGTCTGATCTAAGCTCTAGACATCAAAATTATTCTTTTCGCCGCACATGAAGCGTATCCGCCCTGAAGAGCAACAATAGTAATGCATATATGCGTAACGTGTGTGTGTGTGTGTATGTGTGTGGGCGCGCGCGCGCAAGTAAATGCGCGCACAATACATATTAATCTCTGCAAATATATATCCGAATCTATATATGTGTCCGCTTAGTCCCTTCTCGCATTCGTGTAACGATTATCGCTGTATGACACATATGTGTCAGCTGAAAATGCGCCTATGTACATTATGCATATGTTTCAAAAATATATCCCTAAATACGGCGTTATCTGTTCCACATCGAATGTGCTGCGCGAATGCCAGTTAAAAGTTTCACTACGAACTACATTAATCTTATTAAAATATATGTTTAACAGTTACACGCATTTATAATTTGAATGTCAAGAGGAAATATCAGGTGGCCATAAAGGTCACATCGGTGTTGATCCGCCAGTCGATTGCTACTTTATTAAAAGAGCGCGAGATCACACGACGGCGATTTATTCTTTCTTTTATTTATCATCACAGACGGAAAAGAGTTAATTATACTACTAACAACATTTTCGCATTTCTCCCTCCCTTTTATCACTTTTCTTCTTTGTAACTTTTGCATGAAACCTGCTTAATCAAATTATCAAATAAGTCTGATCATAATCGACGAATAATAAAAATATATAATAAATTAACTGTACACAATTTAACACGTCGCCAATTGCCCGATCAAACTGTGATAAAAAATACAGATTTGCGTGTAAACTTCCGCGGAGTGTTATAAGAAATGTTTTATTATTTGTTTAAACTATATACATAAAAGAGACAACAAAAATTTAACTAAAAATGGTAGGGTTGCAAGTGCATTTCGTACTTATTAGAGATTCAACAAGTCGATCTTGTCACCTGAATTACGGGTGGACAAGATAACGAGTCACCCTTAACGCATTTTAAGCTACGATTAAATGTTACTCAACACTTTTACAGCATACATATGGTACACACGCGACTTTCATCGGATACTAGGAAAATAAACAGTCATGTGACTTGTTATCGCTTACTTGTACACATTATTAAATGAGATTCATAATCGTTCATACAAATATTTGAAGAATCGCGGCATTTTCATCGACATTATTAAATTATGTCATTCTTTTTCCTTAATAGAGAAAAAAGAGCGGGGCAAGAGGTGCAAGGAATCGTTAAAACAAATGAAATGCGAGAAGAACGAAGGAAGAAAGAATCGTACGAAATATTGATGGTTATTCGTCATTTTTGTAACTCGATCTCTCCATGAATGCAAAATTGCCTTTTGCATTTCACACGATTTGTATTACATTGCCTCTGCAATATATGTATGTACGTATGACAACATCCGGTGTATGCACAAGCGTACGACGATCTTATTCCGTGAAAACACGAATGCTTCAGTACTTTCTTCTTTTTGTTTCGTTTTTTTCTTCATTACTCTATTATATGATACTTTCGTATATCGACTAATGGAAGTTAGAAAAGAGCGAGCTGTAACTTCTAAAAATTCAATATCCAAGATCTGTTACGAAGTTTTCACGAATAAACTTATCCAAATCTGCGGCAGGCTATACGATCGAAATGTGAATCGGCAATAATTTCCACATATGGCAGGTAAGATGTCCAAATTCCATCTGCGACAGGCCATATATTACGTAATCTAACCGAAGTTACGGAATCCTTGATCAATGATAATATTATTATTAAGACTTTTTATCAATGTCATTGATATATATGTGTGTATCTATATAATGAAGATCACGCCTCCTCGCGACTCGGCATGCTTAATTTGTCAACATTATATGAATTAACATTTACTATTAAGCGTTCCTGTTTTGGTCCCACGAAATTGCACAATCGCTTCTAGTACTGGATACTAGGATATTTCTCTCCGAAAGAAACAATTTCGAGGATAATCGGCAAAGTGGAACTTTAATTAGAACATATACATACTCACGCGAGTCTACAGTATATTTTTGGCAATTTGTCTGTAAAATCGTTTTTCATCGGAATAATTCGTATCGCGAATGCAAAGTCAGGGACGACGACGTCTAGATATTGGAAGTCAAGACGTCGACTCAAGTCGGGAATCTGACTCAAAGATTCGTTTAGAGGAAGAAATCTGATTTTATCCTAATATTTATCTACAATGACCCTTTACAGATTACAAATACTTTTTATTGCATAGTATCGCTCGAGTTTTTAAAAACATACATCTGTCCTATGTTTACTTATTTATTGTATTACTTTCGATTTGTAGCTATTTGAAAATATAAACGCCTCGAGCGAATTAGTATGTCATTGTATATAAACTCGAATACCCTCCTCCATCCGAATCTTTACGATATTATCATAAAATCCATCTTTCTATATCTATTCTTTATACTGTGTATAAATCTGTATAAAAATCAAACAAAAAGTAAATTCGGGCTGACTGGACGATACCTTTACGTGAAAGAGCATGGATATTGTGTCTAAGAGTTCACGATTGGATTACAAAGAAATGAACAACACAAAATTCATGCTTCAACAGTGAATGTGCAGTCGCTCTTAAAACAATACGTTCCAAGTATATTCTTTAGCCAACTTTTACCTCCACGTTATTAACCCTCAATTATACATACGTTTGTGTGTGTGTGTGTGTTTGTGTGTGTGTAAAATATATACAACAAAAGTAACTTCTTTGTTTTTAACAGCCTCTATGAAATCAAGACAAGTATTAACTGTCTCGGTTAGGGTGTTTGGCAAGAAACCGTCGAGGCCAGGGTAGAGGCCAGTCATATTGTCGTGGCACTGTGCCGCCCACATTCTTCTCAAAATACTTGAAAATGGAGAACCACCAGAGCCGGGCCAAAAAGTTATTTGATCCATATTGCTGCAAAAATTTCATTGTCATTAGCGATATATAAATTACAATGCAAATATTAATCGTTATTTCGCATGTAATATTCAAATTATTTATTATATCAAATGTTATGTTTATATGTGATTATAATTAACATTATTAAAACCATATTAATTATCAATTTATATAGGTAAACTATCTTTGTCGTAGAATGGAAAATCTTCAACGTTCGAAAGTAAAACGTACCTTGAGATTTGGGTTGTTGGCTAGCGTGTGATAAATATACCACAGGCGCGTAGTAACGTAGTAAGCTATAAGTACATCCACAGTATAATGACCATGAGCTACCAAGATCATAATTACCCCGACGAGTACCGCCAGACCAGCTAACCAATGGATCGGTTGACATCTTCTTGGAGAATCTGAAATGCGTTACGAACCATTAGGGTTATGAAATTACGTCGGAATTACAGAAATACATCACGTATATCTATATTCATTTCTCGAACAAATAACCAAGATACGTACACTCCTTAATGATCAGGTAACTGAGTACAAGCACGACTGTGTGTCCACTGTAAATGTAATCTCCACAATAAGTGTGCTTGCCGTTAATTGACAAGCCGAAGCCGGAGATGAGCTGCAGGACTCTCTTTGTCACGAGAAGCGGACTGGTGTTGTTTGCTTTCGGGCTGCAATAGTAAGTTTTACTGGCGATCGGTACGACCGTCACGTACATCGTAACGCTCCTCATCATGTAGAGCAAGCTCATCAGCAGAAATATTCGTCTAGCTACTATGAATCTGTGGGAATAAACTTGATCGTTAGAAATCCTTGTCTTTAAGAAAGATCATTCGGCATCGATTTATTTATTTTGGATTTTATACGCACCTATGCTTATGAAAAATGATAAAAACCATCGCGGAATTGGACATGATCATAATGAGGACTTCCGAGACGTTAAGCGCCCAATCCTGAGCGGTGACATTGTCCAGCACTACGTCGGGAAGCGGTCCGTATGTGTTTCTATCTGGAACGCGCTCGTGTACCATCGCGAGGGAAGCTGTCGTCAGTATGAAGTTTACGACCATAAAGAGAAATGCTGTAACAGAAAACGGCGGCTTACATATATCCCTTTGCAACCATCCTTCCGTTCGAATGTAATTATCGTGCCATTTTCTTCTTTCGAAAAAAAAAGAAAAAGAAAAAAAGATGTTCCGTTTCCGAGGATGCTCGAGAGAATAACCACGGCATTAATCGACTCCGGACTCGTGTCATGCAACGACGATTCACATCGTAACAGATATCTGCGTAACGGAACTCGCGAAATCCGTTGCTCTGTGCATTTATGTTATGATTGTTATGAATTAACATTTCGCGAACGTTCAGCGAACATCCAGCTGCTCGCCTCGGTTAATTCCGATGCGAAAAGCCATCGAGATAAATCGCGCGAGCTCCAGGAAAAAGGAGATCGATCGGAGAGAAGCTCTCTGAGACAAAGCTGCGCGAGCAGACTATCAGACTGGTGCGGTGTATCGAACGAATTCCAGGCCGCGTAACGACCTCGATCTCGATGGACTCCCCGCTGTGAACGAACGTCACGTATACGGTGCCAAACTGGAGATGCTCCGAGCTCCGAGGTCGGCGAAATTAACCGGCGAGTTTCTCAATGTTTGCTTAGAAATTTATTTGCCAATTCTTGTTCCATTCTTATTACGCATTCGGCATAGGTCGTGAGAACGTGGGAAAAACCGAGGAAACTGGCAAAAATCCTCGAAATCTATAATTTCTAAAATTCCTTTAGAAATTATTTCATAATTATTGAATTATATATTAAATTATACGTTGAATTTGCGATTCCAAGAAATCTTTGAGATACAATTGCAAAATTTATTTTAAAAAATTAACTAGTTCTCACTCAAGACGATTTTCTGACATTGCAATTTTAGTCAACAATAGCGTAAATCGACTCGTCACAAATGCATAATATATATAGCTTGAATTGAAGCTACATAAATTTCTTTCAGCTCTTTGCAAATCTGGGGCTTTTATTTTAAGTTAAAACAAGTTAAAACAAGGAGAAATTACTATGTTACTGATTTTATAAGGTCAAATTTTCATACATATCTGATATCATTATTTTCAAGAGGATATCCAATAGAGATATAACTTTCTCTCTCCATATGTGTTTTAGCGTTTCAAAAGAAGAAATAATTTTCTAAAGCGATGAATCTGGCATTCGTACGTCCTCTTACCGAGAAACGTTTTCCACTTTTCCTTAGGGAAACGCGGCTCCTCGCGAAGCGGCGCTGGCATGTCGATTTTGATGATGCCGCTGCCGGAGCCATTCGGTATCCCGGGATGTCTGCCCAGGCCTTCGATATCCTTCTCGTCCTCATCGTCCTCGTAGTAGTCCGAGCCCGAGGCCACTCCGGACCACTTGTCCTTGCTCTTGGACAACGGCGCGCCGGGCAATAGCGGTTGCCGTTGATAAACATCGCTGGACTGTGCCATCCCGCTGCTGTTTCCATCAACCGCCGCCTCGACGTCCCTCTCGTGGCCCTCCCCGGCGCCCAACGGTCGATCGAAGCTTCCGTAATCGTTGTGCAAGCTAGTGGCCTTGGGATCCAATACCATCCTGCACAGAACAGAAGTCGACTTGTCCTGATCGAATCCTGACGAACCCCGGGACGATTCTCGGGATGTGTCTTACGTTAGAGGTAGAGACACCGCTGTGTCTCGAAATCGTTCGGCTAGTATCATCTCATCGACGCGCGACGATGTAACATTGAAACAGCGAAAGATGAGGAGAACGCGCGGAAACGAAGCTGACCTTGGCACACGTGCTACTTGATCGCAGAGAAGAATAACCGAGCCATTGTTGAGTGTATATAGATCAACGGAATTAAAAGACTGCTTTCCGCGTTTGTATGTAAAATAGAAGTGACCCTATCTATCCCGATCGAGAATCATTTGGCCTCGCGTTATAACACCGCACTGATGCGCGACACTTTCGTATGGGTATCTTTCTTTCTTATTTTTATATATCTAGAGTGCTTTGACTCCTTAATCCTTTCTCATTACCTGAAAATCGAGGTTTATTCGAGCAAATGCTGATGGTCGCCTGCCCAATGATCGGCACACCAATAAAAACTGATATTACACGTGACACACATCTGCGAACGGTGCACGTTTACCCGGAGCGTTCATTGCGCGCGTCACCCGTCCCGCCCTGTAAAGCGCGATATTTTTAGATATTTACCGCCTTATGAAGGGAAAAGGTTATCGCGACCGAAAAAAAAGCGCGGATTCTAACAATAAATTGAGCTGACGAAAGCCGTTCACTGCGAGCGCGAGCGCGGAGGCGACCACGACCACGACCACGACCGCGAATGAGATGACTGTTGATCCACGGATAGCATCAAGACTCACTCCACGCGATGCGAGAACGTAACCGCGGAAGCGTCATCGATGGATGCGGCTGCCAGAACTGCAATGGTATTATCTTGGGGTCCGCGGGTTCGCGCGACGGACAAGGTAACGATCAGCCAAATGAGAGTCAACGGCGGCGATCGATGCAATCACACACAATCGCGCTCAAGTAAAATATTTTTATACGTAATAGTTTTTGGGGCGCGTTTGTCCTTACCCCTATACCACAAGAAAGTAACGATTGGAACGCGACAAGTGTATAGTTGCGAGTGGAAAAACGTTATTATTTTATTTTCTTACGTAGCATCCATTATGACGAGTCTCTATCTTTTCTTTTATTTACCTCCGCCTCGCGCACGTCGCCCGGCATCTCCAAAACTCTCGTCAAACCAATAACCAAATGAAACGCGTTCCAATGAAATGCAACGGTTTCGAGCTACAAGTATCGCGTCGGAATCATATGTCCACCCGTATATGATATAAATGTTTAATATCAAAGACCATGCTTAACGCGATACGTGATTTCGTGGGAAAGGTAACGTCTGTCCCGGACACCTCGAGCTCGGCTAAGCGGTAAGGCTAAGCATCGTCCACGTTTATTGAACAAATTACGGTCCGACGATGCGGAAAATGGTATAGTTTGCGCTCATTATAGCCTAGAACCCATTATGGTCTAGAACGTCGAGAGCGCTCGCGAGAAATGACCTGTGATTACACAATTTTACTATTGTGACGTATCTCTCGATCAGTCGGAGTAATCGGTATCAGGATATAATTTAAACTACAATCCTCGAGAGATCCTCAAAGTAGATTGTCATATTGTGCAATTTCTGATATAACACATATATATATGTATATATGTATACTTAACTTTTTGAAGAAATATCGTGTTAATTTTCACGTACTATAATTAAAAGACTCTTGCGCTCCAAGTGCCGATCTGGTCGACTTTAAGAATAATTTTCGCGCTTCCTAAGTCAATTGATTAAACGATAAAATGACAATAATTATAAAATTGTGCTAAAACGTAATGTGTTTTATTTCTTTCTTAATACTTAAATAAGCATGAGATATACGACACATATATGACATATTATGAATCCACGCGGGTGAATTAACATTATGGCGCGCGAAATAAATTATCGACATTGCGTGAAAATCTACGGAGCGCAAAGGGCTAAGGATTTTAATTTAAAGCTGGTTGTATTGCGAGGACATATGGGATGCGAAAAAATTCTAAAACCATCATAAATAGCGATTTTTGTTGACATTTTCGCTGAAGAAAAATCGACCTGGAATTAGTCGAAGAATCCGCCTTTGCAAAGTAATGCGCGTAGATATAGGACCCAACAATAGGTCCTATTTATATACAAGACTCGACGTAAAAATGCGAGTGTCCAGAACGAGAGAGAGAGAGAGAGAGAAAGAGAGAGAGAGAGAGAGAGAGAGAGAGAGAGAGAGAGAGAGAGAGAGAGAGAGAGAGAGAGAGAGAGAAGACCTCTCGCGCGAGACGTCTCTCAGGAAATGGATTCCCATAAGGCGGATATTGCTTTTGTGAGGTCAAAAGGCGCGATTCCCAGAATGTGACTTCTCGGTTCGTGTAGGTTCTCGATAAGTCGTATACCTATGAAGCGAGAGCTTTCTCACCTCGATAACGACCCTTTTGATCCAACTAGCGATCTTATGGACGAATTCGACGTGTAGAAAGGAGTCTGATCCTGAGAGTTGTCACAACTAATCCAAGTACCACTCTCACGGAGAGAGTTAGAAATTTCAGAGTGTTGTTGACGAGTTTTTACGAGTTAGGGAAGATAATGGGAGGATACGATACACGCATAGGAACTGTTTGTCAAAAAAAACAATCAATTAACCCTTGTTCGTATGTGCATTCTAACAAGAGTTGAGTTACTTCACAAAGTATACATTTAATCTTGATATCTTAGAGAATTTTTAAGGTTTCGTAATCATAACAACTCGTCGCGTCGCGTAAAAGAGTCACGCTTCGCGTGTACTTGTCGCGAGACACTACCGTGTCTCTTGATATACAATATTTTAAAAGAGATTTTAATGTGCTACGTAAAGATGCTTAAAACATGACTACAACTCACTCTCATAACGTGCGCGGTGCGAGTTGTTATATATAATGCTGCCCATTTATCGCGCAACGCGTATGTCGCCTCTGTTTTATTCTAATTAATTCGCAAAGCTCGTTAGTATTATACGCAACCTAGCATGTCATCGCACGTATACTTAAACCGGGAACTTGTGTCTTTGTGTCAAACTTTCGTAAAGAAAAGGAAAATTAAATGCGAAAGTTATAGTCATCAATAAAAGTATTTCGTAAAGCAATAACGGTTTTCAATTCCAAATTTGAAGTTAAATGTCAAATATCTGGAATATTTTAAATTTAAACGCACACACACATCTCTTTAACTAAATTAAAGCTAAATTTTATTACCTTTAATTACATGCTTTTGCGAGACACCACGTATATAAAGTATGAGTATACTTGAGACAATATCAGCTCTTAAAGACGGATTATTTACTTATTCAGTTAGAATAGTTAAATACTTACTATTCTAAGGTCTTATATGCCTAGTATGTAGAAGTCTCAATAACTTTTGTAACAGGTGAACATTTTCACATAACTATGTTCGAGAACATACGACACTGTCTAGCGCTTCGTAATCCATTAGCGTAAAAACACGATAAACTTTTGCGACAGCCAAACAGTTATCATTATTGTCTTCTACTGCTACACTACTACTACTACTACTACTTATTAGTATTCACTATATTACTATTCTGATGCGTCACTATGCCAAATTGCAATACGCGGTTTGTTGTGGGACACGATAAGCATAGCCGTTTGCCAATGCAAAACAATACAAATCGTGTCAATACAAATGCAACAATGCTTAGAATTTGTAAACTATTCTATATTTAAACGATTACGATAGCTTCATTTATTTCACAAGACCACGTGAATTGCTCGGGAAAAAACCCATGTGTATGTATTTAATGCTCATTGCGAATGCACATTAGTGATAAAAGTAACCGTAAATATACCGCATACTGATAATAGACTAAAGACCTCGCTTCGCGTATACGCTTCGATATTACATCGCGAACGATTATATTATTTCTGCCTCTGAGAAATATTTGAAAGAAAATGCAAACCAAGAAAAAATACTTCAGAAATTATTGGTTTTTTACAAAGAAGATTTTTTTCCTACAAAAGTTACAAAAATATATCCTTTTCAAAATTCTGACTCAAATTTTGTCGATGACAAAATTTCGCGTATAATATTGGGCTAACATAAATATGCCAAATGTTCAACAAAGAAATAAATGTGATTGATGACTCAGTTAACTAATATTCAATTCAAGGTACACGAGATATGGAGTTTATGAACTCAACAGGAAGAGAAATATGATTTATGACCTAATCAAATATATTTTTTGTCCCAAAGATCGATTGTTCGTGATATTCATGACAATTTATAATTATTATCTTTTATTATCGCGCAAAAGCGATCGCATGGTATCGTAATAGCTGAAACCACCTATGATTTTCAAAACCTATGGTTTTGATTGCAATATCGCGCTATTCTCTCAAATTAAACGCGCCACAAAATTGCTATTCCACCACACATCACACATCGCAGACTAAGTACGAAGTAATTTGCAGAACTATACGATCTTTCCGTTGCCAATAACGGCGTAAAATAGAAAACTGCACTTAACATAACTATGTTATGATTGTATATTTGAATAAATCACTGAGAATATAATAATGTTCAATGAAACTTAATATCAGCTCAATCAGCTTGTGATACACCATTATCTGATCTTTCCTAAATAAAAAAGCTTCAATAAAAAAAGCATTACCTCAAATTTCTAAATCCAGAATAATATTTGGTCTCTCTTTCATTTCCTAAATACAATAGAGAATCTCGACAATTAAAATTATCGACATATAAAAAAGGGAAAAATTTAATTTTTATTTTATTTCTAAAGCTATTCTACCAGATTTCATTATACTTTATACCACTTTTCTTTAAAAGATTTTAGGCTCGAGAATTAATCGAGAAATTTCCTGAATGTTAAAGATCAACTACATTAGTCATAATTTTCTGGAGATAGATACATTATTCGTTTTCGAGATTATAGGGTCACGGGGAGCTCGGAAAGATCGATCGGGGG